TTACCAGTGAAACCAATATAACATCTCAACATTCACAAATATACATTTTTGACATTCAAAAACAAAACAAAAACAAATCAGTGACCAATATAGCCACCTTTCTTTGCAAGGACACTCAAAAGCCTGCCATCCATGGATTCTGTCAGTGTTTTGATCTGTTCCGCACCAGCATATGGTCTCACAAGGGGTCTGAGGATCTCATCTCGGTACGTAATGGCAGTCAGGCTACCTCTGGCGAGCACATGGAGGGCTGTGCGGCCCCCCAAAGAAATGCCACCCCACACCATTACTGACCCACTGACAAACCGGTCATGCTGGAGGATGTTGCAGGCAGCAGAATGTTCTCCACGGCGTCTCCAGACTCTGTCACGTCTGTTCAGTGTGAACCTGCTTTCATCAGTGAAGAGCACAGGGCGCCAGTGGCGAATTTGCCAATCTTGGTGTTCTCTGGCAAATGCCAAACGTCCAGCAAGGTGTTGGGCTGTAAGCACAACCCCCACCTCTGGACGTCAGGCCCTCATACCACCCTCATGGATGCTGTTTCTGACCGTATGAGCAGACACATGCACATTTGTGACCTGCTGGAGGTCATTTTTGCAGGGCTCTGGCAGTGCTCCTCCTGTTCCTCCTTGCACAAAGGTGGAGGTATCGGTCCTGCTGCTGGGTTGTTGCCCTTCTATGGCCTCCTCCACGTCTGGTAGCGCCTCCATGCTCTGGACACTACGCTGACAGACACAACAAACCTTCTTGCCACAGCTCGCATTGATGTGCCATCCTGGATGAGCTGCACTACCTGAGCCACTTGTGTGGGTTGTAGACTCTGTCTCATGCTACCACTAGAGTGAAAGCACCGCCAGCATTCAAAAGTGACCAAAACATCAGCCAGGAAGCATAGGAACTGAGAAGTGGAACCATTCCTTTATTGGGGGTGTCTTGCTAATTGCCTATAATTTGCACCTGTTGTCTATCCCATTTGCACAACAGCATGTGAAATTGTCACTCAGTGTTGCTTCCTAAGTGGACAGTTTGATTTCACAGAAGTGTGATTGACTTGGAGTTACATTGTGTTCTTTAAGTGTTCCCTTTATTTTTTTTGAGCAGTGTATAATAATATATATTCATATCAAAGTACACGTACAATGATATTGATTAAATATAAATTTATCAATTTATATATAATATAAAATAAATATGTAAATACGTAAAAAAGTACTTTTGTTCTATTTTAATTTTTTTTATATATATATATATATATATATATATATATATATATATAGATATCAAAATACATGTAGAACTAAATAATATCTATATACATAAGTATATACGTGTATATATCACTGGGAAAAGCAAGTGTTCTGGCTTGACTGGTGTGCAGATTTTTGTTTAACATTGTGTGTGTATATATATATATATATATATATATATAAATTCTACGTATATATTTATGTAATAATTTTACATAATTAGGTCATTTTATTATGATTTAGTGTTTCAACAGTAAAATGTATTACAATAATGATAGTCAGTGAAAGTGAAATTTGTTGAATTTTCACACACAAATGGCCCTTACACTGACAATATAATTGTTGTGATACGTTTTACTGTTTTGAAACACTAATATTTGTGTTCAGCGAAGTCTCCCGAGTATTACAGTACCCCTCATGTACAGGTTTTATGGTGTTTTGAAAAGTTACTGAGTCAAATATAAGGCTTGCGTTTCAGTTTTTTCACAGGAATAAAAATTACCCCCATGATGGCATACCATTTGCAATAGTAGACAATCCAAGGTATTGCAAATGGGGTATGTTCACTCTTTTTTAGTAGCCACTTAGTCACAAACACTGGCCAAAATTGGCATTCAAATTAGTTTTTTGCATTTTCAAATATTAACACTAACTTTGGCTAGTGTTTGTGACCAAGTGGCTACTAAAAAAGACTGGACATACCCCATTTGCAATACCTTGGGTTGTCTACTTTTGCAAATTGTATGCCATCATGGGGGTAATTCTCATTCTTAGGCTACTATACGGTCTCAAAAGCAACATAACCAATCTAGCGAATTTCAATGTGAAAAAACTGAAAAATGTAATACGCTATATTTGACCCTGTAACTTCCCAAAACACCATAAAACCTGTACATAGGGAGTACTGTTTTACACGTGAGACATCGCTGAATACATGTGTATTTTATTGCGGTAAAAGCAAACAGTACTATGACATTCACAGTTAGAATGTCACATAGAACTAAAAAAAAAATAAATAATTTCCCCCATTTTTTTTTTATATTTTATTCATATTAAATTGTTTCATACCTAAATATTTGATGTTAAATGAAAGCCCTGTTTCACCTGAATAAAATGATGTATAATAAGTGTGGGTGCACATAATATGAAAGAGGCGAATTACGCCCGAACAGACATGTAGCGCAAATTCCAGTTTTTGTTTACGATTTGGTTTTGATCACAACGTGTACATTTGGCTCAGTCCTTAAGGGATTAAGCTGCAGCGGTTCCAGTGACCTTAGCGTCCCTTTAAGATATATTATTTTTGTTGTTGAAAATAAATCCTGGCTCCTAACTTTTTAGCTGGCTCCTAGATTCAAAGCAAATTTGTCAAGTCCTGATCTGCTGTACCCTTCAAATTAAAATGTAAGCCCTATTAGCAGGTGTATTCTTTCTCTGTATTGTAAATGTTAAACAGAGAGTAAGCTCTGTGAGCATGGATTATCTTTTCCTAAATTGTACATTTCGTTTTAGAGTTAAAGGACCACTATAGGCACCCAGACCACTTCAGCTTAATGAAGTGGTCTGGGTGCCAGGTCCATCTAGGATTAACCCTTTCTTCTATAAACATGGCAGTTTCAGAGAAACTGCTATGTTTACAAATGGGTTAATCCATTGACAGCCACTAGAGGCACTTCCCACTGTGATTTTCACAGTGAGAAGACGCCAGCGTCCATAGGAAAGCATTGAGAATGCTTTCCTATGAGACTGGCTGAATGCGCATTCAGCCGATGACGGCGATATGGAGGAGGAGAGTTCTCCGCCCGGCGCTGCAAAAAGAGGTAAATTTAACCCTTTCCACCCCCTAGAGCCCAGCTGGAGGGGGGGACCTAGAGACTCTATAGAGCCAGGCAAAGGAGTGTTTTCTTGGCACTACAGTGGTCCTTTAAGCTCTCTGTGCAGGGATCACCTTTCTCTATTTCATACTTTTCCAATTAGAGTGTAAGTTCTGTGAGCATGGATCTCCTTTCTCTGGATCATTCCTTCCAGATTAGATTGTAAGCTCTGTGAGCAAGGGCCTTCTTTTTCTCTACTGCACCTTTCCCATTAGAGTGCAAGCTCTGTGAGAACCGACCTACTCCCACTGTTTGTAACCTTCAATTAAGAGTACAAACCTTGCTTAGGGGTAAAAGCGTTTATTGTCATCATGGACCTCGTGTCTCAATTAGATTGTTCATGTTAGAGTGTAAGTTTTATGTGCAAAATTTTCCTTTAATTTTATAATTTAAACTCTGCAAACAGAGACCTCTTTACATTGTATATATTCATGTGTAATCACTGTACCTTTTATCCCCCCCCAATCATCATTCACCAGGGTTTTTATTTTGCCTTCCTTTGGGTCATCAATTAACTAAATGAGAATTTCAGCTAAAATATAGAAATTAAAACAAACATTTGAAATGTAGCTTTCTTATTGTCTGATTCCGGGTTAACATCAATGCATTGACCATACAGCTACATATCACATTAATCTTAGAGAACGTGTCATGTACAGAAAAACATCTATCCAGTACTAGTTACATAATCAGCAGCAATGTGCGGTAATAAATATTCAAGGAATATGCATGATTACATAATCATACGGTCACTAGCAGCTACGGAATTAGATGGTGCTATATAAATAATAAAATAATGTGTAAAATAAACAGTGCATCTTGCTTTGAGGCTAAACTCTGCCTTAGAGGTGTAATACAGAGTTACGCCACCAAATGATTACTTTATAATGGTTTGCTAGTAATTCACATGCTGCATTATACAATATCTCTACTATATCTATCTATATCAAAGTTTTGATTGTTAAACTATGAATGAATCTGACAAAATCTGGTGTTTAGTGAATTATCCAAATACATTCAGACAAGGAAAAAAAAAAAAAAAATATTGTTTTGGCTAAACCAAATTTCATCCATTTAGGCATTCGTTTTCAAACTAAATCTGCCCGTAATTTATTTTGAAATCGAATTTTATAGCCCCCAGTTTTATAACAGGGAGCAGCCCCTGCTTGCCATTTAGTAGATATACTGCTGCTCACAGAATGGCATGTAGGGAGGTTTTAAGCTCCCTTATAGAAACAGATTGTGATGGCAGATAAGAACTATTCGGTCCATCTAGTCTGTCCAATTTTCCAAATACTTTCATTAGTTCCTGGCCTTGTGCCTATCCCACGCATGCTTAAACTCCTTCACTGTGTTAACCTCTACCACTTGAGTTGGAAGGCTATTCCATGCATCTACTACCCTCTCAGTAAAATACTTCCTGAAATTACTTTTAAACCTGTGCCCCTCTAATTTAGTAGTTAGTTTTTCTTCTTTTAAAATATAGTCTCCTTTATGGCATTGACTCCCTTTATGTATTTCAATGTTTCTATCATATACCACCAACCTCCCCCTTGTCTTTGCTCCAAGCTATTCATGTTAAGATCTTCCTAATATGGGGGTCATATTGAAGCAGATAGCTTCTATTTTTAAATATTACAAGGAAGGAGCTGCAAACCTGTGGATCCCTCCTTTAAAAAAAAAAATAAAAAATTAGAAGAACTTATTACATGGACGAAATTAAGCCAGCAAGCAATTCGCTCTTAGCTTTATACACTGTAATTTGTATTCGTGCATTCTTTTGAACAAATCGAATTGCTAAACAATAACGTGTTAGTCTGAAAACGATTGCCCAAGTCTAGTATCCTGCAAAAGACATGAGCAGCAAATCCTTTAAGTCATGCAAGTTGCGAGGTGGGAACTCCATGTTCCAGCACATCCCACAGATGCTCAATCAGATCTAGATCTGGGGATGCGAGGCCAAGGTAACACCCCACTGCGATCAGTGAACCACTGCCATGCAGGTGTTTACATAGTCTACAAGAAGCTCTAGGTAGGTGGTACATGTCACAGTAACATGCACGTGACTGCCGGGACTCAAGGTTTTGCGGCAAAACATAGTCTAGAGCATAACATGGCCTCCTCCCCTTCGTTCAACCTGCTGACATCAATTTCCCAGGTAAAACCACACACCCAACCATCCATCTGATTGTACCAATGCTCCAGTACTTTGGCTGAATATCTCAGCGAAAAGTTCACTCACTAGAGACAGTGCTGAAATGATAGCGTAAACACACATTGTCACAAAGCAAACATGTATAGGGACAATAACAGGGGGTCATCACTAGTGACAAAAGGGTCCCTTCCTGGCACTAGTCTATTTGGGAGATAACCAGATCAATTACCACTAATCTAATTCGCTAACAGAGCACCTTAACTGAAGATCCCTGAACACATTTATACATTAGTAAACCCCACGTTATCCCCAGATAGCTTGTCCTCCAAACTCACTAACTGGCAAAACAGCACTGTGATGCACCACAGGGGGTCCATACCATAACTACATTTTACTGAGATGTGCCTATTCTTGGTGTGTCCCTGTCAAGCGCTTGGAGCCCTCCTAGCAGATTGTCTGGTTTAGACAGGTCAGTGTGTTTCCCGGTCATCCTATGCCCCGAATAAGCACAAGGTGACTTAGACATAAGAGGGGACTGGGAAGCTGAGAAAGGGATCTGCTATTAATCTGCCATGGCTTCCCTCCCAGACACAATCCTATACCATATGACCTCATTCTCAGGGATTACTGTGACACCCACACATTCCAGTAGTAAATCTGGAACCCTGTTTCCAGCCCAGGACAGTGCCAATCACACAGGCTTAAGAGACAAAGGGATTCATTCAGACGAGGCAACCTTCTTCCATTGCTCCATAGTCCAGTTGTGATGCTCACATCCCACTGAAGGCACCTTCAATGGTGGACAGTGGTCATTATGATCACTCTTACGTTTTTTTTTTTTTTCCTCTTTAACAATTTGAGCTACAGTAGCTGTGTTATGACCAGATGGGCTAGCCTTCAATCCCCACATATATCAATGAATCATGAGCGCCCATGACAGATTAGTTTTAAAAACAAAAACCACACCTTAAAATAACCTTAGCGGGCTAGTTTCTGCTATACAGAGTTCCAATGCTTAATTTTTTTGTGCTTGGAAAGCCTAGATTTAATGCTTTCCAATGGGGAATCCCTAATGTGTACATGGCACTCTGCATATTATGTTGCCCCTTGATATGACATCACATGAGGAGGCAGATTCAGCCCCAAGGGACCTCAGGGCAGGAATCCCTTAAGTGAGAAATTTAAGCCTTTAATGACTGGGGGGCCTGCAGAAGAGGGACACTGTTTGTTTGTATTCTTAACACTATATGGTTCCTTTAAGCTCTTATATGCTGCGATTTGAAGTGGTCATGGTGCCAGGAATCTGGATGTGCAGGTTTGGGGGCAAATCTCTGCACGTGCAGCGTTTCAGAGGTTTAACTCCAACAGCATAATTTCTGTGCAAAATTTGCATCAACACCAGGATGCATAGCTGATAGACTGCTTATAGCTGGAACGAAAAAAAACAAAAAAACTGAACTCAAGCAAAAGACTCAACTAGGTGTTTATTTCCTATCAATTGCCAAAAAAAAAAAAAAAAAAAAAGCGTAGCAGGCGGAAGTCCCCCACAAGCAAAGCAGGGGATATCTATAGTCCCCTTCCAGGTGCTCTGCCTACAAGGGAAAGATTTACACATCCGTTGTCAGTTTTGCTGTAAACACTATCTTTTCAGAGAAAATGCAGTGTTTACATTACAGCCTAGTGATAACTTCACTGGCCACTCCTCAGATGGCTGTTAGAGATCCTTCCTGGGTCATGGCTGCCTAAAATGCATCCAAACATTCAGTATCTCCTCCCTCTGCATGCAGACACTGAACTTTCCTCAGAGATTCATTGATCCAAGTCATCTCTATGAGGAGAAGCTGATTGGTCAGGGCTGTGTTTGAATCATGGTGGCTCTGCCCCGATCTCCCGCTTTGTCAGTCTCACCCAATCCTATGAGAAAGCATTGTGATTGGATCAGGCCACCACTTCTGATGATGTCAGAGGCAGTTCACAGGCAGAGGCTGCAGCTTCAGACTTGAATACAAGTAAGATTTTACTATCTTTAGGGAGGCAAAGGGGGCCACGTAGTGGTTTTAACACTATAGGGTCAGGAATACGTTTGTGCTCCTTCAATGTTAAGAAAAAAAAAATCCCAAAACCTAGACAGAGTTAATATCACTACTTGATCAGAATCTAATGCATTTTTGGTGAACATTTGAAAGTTAGGAGGGTCAAATACCAAGCCCCTAATCCCAGGACAACATTTAAGAAAAAAAAAAAAAAATATAAGATCACACAAACAAAACAAGCGTTTTTACAGTAAAGTCTTTCCAAACATTTAATTATATTATTGGATGCTTTGAGTCTATAAAAAAAAAAAAAATTACAAAAGAAAGGGAAACTGTTTAGCCAAGTCCCAATACCGAACAGTTGGAAAAAGTAAAAAACAAAAAAAAGTGCAACACCCCAACAACATTCCAAAGAAAACAATGAAGCCATGACACAAAGCAGCAGTTAAGATTTATTGCCAAACCGATAATTTCACAAAGGGAGGAAAAAAAAATAAAAAAAATAATATTTTACACTTTTAAATATGTAACCACAATTAAGAAGTGTTTATTTTTCCCCAATTGAATTTAATTGTTATAATGTGCACAAAAATATTTGCCTTGAACAGAAAAAAAAAAACCCCGAAACAAAGACCACAAAGACTGCTGAAAAGCATTTTTAAAAATGTTTTAGTCCTGCACAACATCACTTTGCTCAAAAAATATCAGGTACAAAAAGTTTGTCAATTTGGAGCAAAGTTTTGCTCTTTCTACCATTTAGTCACTTGTTATATTTCTGATCCTTAAAAATTATAACTTAACCTAAACTGAAATTTAAAAAAAAACAAACAAAAAAAAAAATTTGGCTGAAGGCAAAAATCAAACCTTTTATACCTTCAAACAGGCCGTAGAACGTTTGCAATTTTAAAATACTGTTAAACGAGGAATGTATTTAAAGGACTTGTACAAAATGGGAAAAGTTGATGTAGTGGTAGCCATTTTATATCAATATGTTTTTTTTCTGTTGTATTTGTGTGCATGCAATATTCTCTCCTTTTGGGCACAATGACAAAGTTGAAATTAAACCAGCTATACAGATTGCTAATTTATAAAAACAGGATTTCAACATTTACTGTATTGAGATTTTGGTGAACAAAAAGAAAAAATGTTAAATTTAAACACAATTACAATAGTAGTGAATTGAAGAGCCAGGTTTTGAGAAACATTGGTGCCTGGATACCAGGAGGTTTCAATTGTAAACATTGTGCATTTATAGGGACAGGGGGGGATAAGGAAAGGCCCGTCTCCGTGAACTGCACACAATGTCTGCTTCCTGTCCAGATGCCCAACTGAAAGACATTCTGATACACTAGGAGAGAAGAGGGCAATACACATACAGACAGAAAATGTTCTAAAATGATTACCACTGAAAAAGTATTCTGGACACACTAGCCTGCTAAGAGAACAAACGATATAAAGATTCTGTAAAGAGGTTCCATAGTGTTTGATTTAGGTTCTTCCACCCTCAAAAGTTATACAAATGAAGGCAACAAAAAGCACTGTAAAGACATAATCCAAAAGGAAAGATAAAATATTTCTAGGGTGACAGCATAAGAAAAATAAAAATACAAGATTGAGGATTGGAGGATTTGTGCCATATTAAAATCTTTTTAAAAAAATGAAATATATTTATATATATTTATAATCTATAGAAAAAAAAAATGCATTAGTCCAACACAAACTTCTAGGATTTAAAGTACTAAAGAAACCAGTTTATTAACCTCGAAGCCACACACGCAGAGGTTGATAATCAGCGTTCTGTAAGCAGAAACCAATGTGCTGGGGGCATTTACAAAGCCCACCTCGTGCAAAGTCTATGAAATAAAAGCTCTTAAAATGTAGGGAGGGGGAAAGGCGAGGGCAGAAACATGTTCATTGTAGGCACTTCAGTCTTGGATCATCCTCTTCAGTGGTAAAGAACTAGAATAGAAAAATGAAAGACTTTGGTTCAGACATGTCCCTCTTAAATATCTCTAGCAGTTAATTTCTTGTGGTTTACTTCATTTGGAAAGTTTGTCATAAATGTAAACAATTCTTAAAACGTAAAAAAAAGGAACACTTCAAGCAAGCTGCAGTGGGTAGGATGAAAAGAGTGCCCTGGCACTCCCCAGTGTAGTCAACCTATTTGGCAACGGTTTGACTTACATGTGGTTCACCCGGCGTAGATCCCTACATCCTCCCAGCAAGAATTGAGCACCAGAAGACTCCATTAGCTCTCCTTAGCCAAGTCCTGCAGTGCAGAGCTAGCTCATTGGTTGACAGCATTAGCTGATGGCTCTCAGGCAATGAGCAAAGACCTGTACTTCCAGGTTTAGCTCATTGCCATAATGTCTGGTTAGAGGAGTAAGGGAACAGCACCCTGGCAAACCACAGGTAAGTTAGTTAAAGCATTAAACGGTCTGACTAGCACCATAACCACTACATGATAAAATTAGTGCATAAAGTATACAGATAAGTTTAGGTGCACTTGAAAGAGCACCCATCCTTTATTTTAAATAAAGTGTACCACGGTTGCTCAATATAAAAAAACACAAAAAAAAAAACCAAACAAACAAACTATCAAGTCATTTTTAACAACTACCACTATCAAGTTCATAAGAAGCTTCCACCCCCAACATGGATGACAGATTACAAAGGCTACATGCACAGTCCAGATTTTACCTTGTGCAAGATCAGATTACATGGTCAGGGTATGGTATTCTTCCCGCGTGTTCGCTGTAAGCGTCCATGGGATAATCTCCGTCAAGATCTCCCATCATGGGATCCATTTGCATATCATCTCCATACCCGGCAGTACGGTAATGCTCCACTTCTAAAGAATAGGAAAGGTCAGAGTTAGAATTCAGGGTATTAAGAAGTGAGTTCCCAGCCCCCACCTGTAACAATCTTCACCACGTTCAGTTTGTAAAAGAACAAAAAAATAAATACAAATTTTGCTGGGCATGAAATTCAAAGGAATCTTGCATGCGTTACAGAAACATGCTTTGTTCTAAGAGATATTCAATCACACTTACCATCTGAGTAAGGATCATTGATTGGAATCATACTCTGTGCCTGTGAGTTAAAAAAAAAAAAGTTTTGGTAAAAAATTTCATATGGATTTCTTATTAAGTGAGAAAGCACATCAGGAACACAGAGCAAATACAATTGATATGAGCTTACAATGAATCCAATATTTGTCATTGCCTACATTGAGCGGTTCTGATTTTATGAACTGAGCCTCCAAGTCATTTTTTTCTCTTTTAGAGTCAATGGTCCTCATGAAAAATACTCTTTAAAAGTGGTAGAAATAAATATAGTCAACACTGACATTTGTGAGTTAACTGAGCCTATCATTTGACTAGACAGTCCTACCTCAATATCTACGGTTTAATTAGCACCAACTGATGTCATTGTTAGAATTCAGTAGACACTATGGGGACAATTGACTTCTATCACAAAGCAGAGTTTGTGCTAAAACGCAAACCAAAAATTAATATGAATATTACAAATTTTCTAAACTGCCAGATAGAGGTCAATAATATGGAACTTACCGCTTCCCAAGCTGCAGGATCCTGGCGGAAAATGGCGTTCGTAAGCTCCACAGACACGCGCTTCCTATAATCTGGATTTTTATCCTCTGAGATACGGAAGAGAACAGCGGCAGCATAGGTGGCTGAAAGAAGATATTGATCATCATAGTGTAGATCATTCACAGACAAATTGTTATACAATCCTATGCTCTAAATAAATATGAAAACGTTACAGCGGAACAGATTTAATAACCTAAAACCAAAACTTATAAGGAAACTATAGCCCTGTCACTTTGGAAAGCCAGCTTCACTCTGAAATACTTCATGCGTACACCATGGAGTCAGATGGTCAGAAATCAAAGATAGGAAAAATATTTGCTTTAAAAAAAAAAAATTAAAAAAAAAAAAAAAATTGCACAAAATATTCATGTATATTCCCAACAGGTTCTGTGGTTCACTCAGCAAAATTTATTTAATAGCCATTGTGGATCATTACATTTTACCTCCCCCCAGACAATGCTTCCTTTACTGGAGATTTACCTGTGCCCTCATTATGGCAATGCAGCAGTTCCATCAAAGGAGCAGAAGCTCCCTCTGCATCAATTGTATCTGCAGCTTCTTTCTCCTGAGCAAGTTCGCACAAGACTCCTGCTGCCACTCTCTGGATGTTCTCTACAGGTGAATACAGGAGCTGGACAAGGGAGTCATAGTTTCAAGTTAAAGATTCCGTTTATATGAGCAAAACTTAAATCCAACGCATTTTACAGAAACCTGAAATATTGTAGTGTAAAAACGCACCAGATCTCTTTACATATATAACATGTACCAGTTTTATGCCTCCTACCGGCTAAATCAGTCTTACAAAAGACAGCATGACCTGCAGTATAATTATGTCACAGAAGGGATTAGTTTTATAATAAAGCAATTAGCCACAGTGATTACTAATTAATGAGGCACCATAGAACGCTCATATTGATCAATCACCTTGTACACAGAGTGGCGCTAAGCTGTGGAATTAAGTATCTAATTCACATAATGGGGCATACACAAACCATTAGCTCTCCTGATCAAATCCTAACTTTGCACACCATCTACATTCAAAGAGTGATAGGACTGGATTCAAACATCCAAATTTATATTTTAGTTGTATAATGTATGAAATATGGGTCATGCAAAATACACTCAATAATGTGCCTCCCCATTACGTAAAATATTTTTATTTAAAAAAAAAGGAATTTTAAGGAACTTTTTGTTTTTAGCTGCTTAAGTATATTATAAGAATTTTAATTTACTACGATTGCGCTCTCCTGTTCATATCAGTTTGTACATCTTCTCTATAAGAATGGCTGTAGTTTAGCTCATTATAGCGATGATTATTAAACATCGTTGGCTGAACATGAACTAGTACTACTGTCCTATTTCAAGAGTCTCCAGTGCAATGAAGAGTCTGTACATAAAAGTGCGTTCGATAACTATTCAATTAAAATAGATTGTCAAAAATTGTAAAATCGTTAAAATCAGTCACTTTAGGGACTGCCAAGGAAATGTTAAGAAATGCCGCTTCGTACGGATGCATTAATGTCAAATCTAGACTCAAAATAGAATACTGAATCTCAGAGTTCCAGCCTTAAGTATGTCAGTCACTTTTACAAAACAACTGCAATGTTGTCTCAGGAGGACAATGTTGGCAGCAAACTGAAGTTAATTTCTTACATCAGAGAAACAAAAACAGAATCTTCAATGAAAGCTAGGTGAGACATTGTTTCAGTCTAACAGTAAATAAGAAAAAGGTCATAAACATTAGTCACATGTAGCAGGGATACTTGTGGACTTTCAGATTTAAAAATCAGTCTCATCATATAAAAAAAAAGCTGTGCACACAGATTAGCTTTAAAGGGACACTATGGGCACCCAGACCACTTCGGCTCATTGAAGGGGTCTGGGTGCTGTGTCCTAGGCCCCTTAATCCTGCAAAGGTAATTGCGAGGGAGGGGGAATCTATAGTTTCCCTTTTATGTTTTGGAGTTTATGCTCCCTTTTAATAGATGTTGTATTAAAAATAAATTAATGCCATTTTGGACATGATTACTCATTAGACCAGGAAAAGCCTCAAGTCTTTTAGCCAGCCCTTCTGTTTCCATAACGTTCAGAGGAAGCACTAGGTATATCCTATAATCCCAGTACATAACGGGATTTATGGATTTTACCATGTTTTAAGCTACCGATTTCAGATGAAACCTGGCAACATTACAGCAATCACCAATTGGCTTAATCAATGAAAAATATAAATGAAACGATTTCTACACAGTAATAGAAGACGTGAAGTCTTATTCAGTTAATAAGACTCCACAGGTAAATCCCAGACAGATTAGATTCATTCCGATCTGGATTAAAAAGGCTTTGGAGAAAGTGGTTTGGACCGGCCCATTTGAATCAGTGTGCTCTGAGAACTCAGAAATTAGGATAACCCAAACAACTATACACATTAACATGACACACAGAGGTTGTGTCACCATGTAACAGATGCAGATTATCCCAGAATAGGAACATGGTACCTACCAGAAAGTTAGAATTTATTCTATTAATTATTGATTACTGAAATATACTTTAAAAAAAACAAAAAACAAAAAAAACAAAACAAAAAAAAAACTTTATAGCACTAACCGCCATAGGTGCAGAGAATATCCCATTCATCAACTAATCAGGACACTCAGTAGCAGACAGAACAGTTATAGTCTGTCTGGTTGATGGTCCTACAAGAGCCATTTGCCACCTCCATTCATTTCTGGTTACTTGTAAATAAACGGGGAATACAGCACAGAGCACTCACCTGCACAAACAAAGGAATGGTGTTGAGCTTGTATATGTCCATTCGGTTCATGGGTTCTCTTGCAAGGATGTGAAGTGCTCCAGTGCATCCCTCCACTATCTCCTCCATCTTCACACCATCCTGTAGAGGACACAAGAAGAAACAAGTTTAGAGGTTATTATAAATCGCACAAATCTAGGTTTTGCCTAGAAGCCCCACTATGTAGACCAATTGTTTTGTTGCTCCAGAAAAGTTGGGGGATTTTAAAGCAGATTAACAGCTGCACTGAACATATTCTTATCCAGGATTTTGTTTAGTCACCATCTATAGATTGACATAAATCCAGTCTGTGCTGCTCATTACTGGTTCTCAAAAAAATAAAATAAAAATAACCCGCCCCCAAAAACAAAAACAAAAAAACACAACACACACACACACAACCCCCAAACACTTAAACAAAACAAAAAAAAAAAACGAAAAACACACCATGTCTTTTCCATTAAAGGACCACTATAGGCACCCAGACCAGTTGAGCTCAATGCAGTGGTCTGGGTGCCAGGTCCCTCTAGTTTTAACCCTGCAGCTGAAAACATAGCAGTTTAAGAGAAACTGCTATGTTTCACTGAGGGTCAACCCAGCCTCTAGTGGCTGTCTCACTGACCGCCACTTCCGCGATTCTCACTGAAAATTGCATTGAACTCACGCTGGACGTCCATAGCATTTAGTAATGCTTTCCTATGGGCTGATTGAATGCATGCATGTGCATTCGGATCTGACGTCGGCAGGGGGTGGAGAGTTCCCCAGCACAGAGCGAGCCTGGTGCTGGAGAAAGGCAAGTGGCCGAAGGGTTTTTAACCCCTTCGGTCCAGCAGGAGGGACCTAATGACCCTATAGTGCCAGGAAAACAAGTTTGTTTTCCTGGCACTACAGTGGTCCTTTAAAAGCATAACTGGCAAGTTCTCAGATCCCAACGTGTATTTTTGAACTTCTCTCCATTTCATAAAACCTATTAAATAAAACCCATGTTCATGAAATAAGTCCTTTAATCAATCAATGTCAAAATTCATGGGTAGAGTTACGCCAAGCACCATGACTTCTTCAGTGATTTGAAGTGGTGATTGTGCCTCTATGTGCAGTGAACCCCTTAACCGAAGCGCTCCTGTTTCAGCACTGACATTTTTTCAGTTCAGCTCACTTCAGCTATTGGGTTGCAACAGTGGTGTACTCTTGCACGTGCAAGTACAAAATAGAGTATACAAAAGTCATATGCATCCATTGCCCACAGACGATGCCAGCTACCCTTGCCGTCACAAGTTAAACTGCCAGATGCCACTTGAAGCTATGCCTTTTGCTACATTTCTACCCCAAATCCAGTTTATGATAAAATTACACCATTAAAATTGCACTGATATAACCGCCTACAGGGTTTTCATAATAATACTATTTATATCAATAACGTGACCGTACCACTTCAAACATCGTGACAGACAAAAGGCAAGATATACCCCTTTGTCTATTGCCTCTACATCAGAGAAGGGGGAGGGAGAGGTCTCAGCTACAAAGTAAAATATGAAAATAAGATGTAATCTATACATTTGCTAACAGATTGTAATTAATACAGTTATGGTCTGGTGATACTTTAGCTGCCTCAGTCTACATATAAGAGGTATGCTTAAAGTAGAAGATCGCCCCGGGTTAGGTGCATTAAAGACGGCTTTTTCTTTGAGGATTAGAGAATACAGAAGACAGATGGTAAAAACAAAAGTGGGTGCCTTTTATTGCCATGACTGCTAAATAATTCACATAGGACTGAAGGCAAGTGGTCTTTTAAAAGTGATATGGCACTAATTATCTTACGGAAGAAAAAAAACCTGAAAACCACTGCTACCTAGGTTAGGGATAATTGAGACAATCAACTGAACCAAATGCAAGGTTCTTATTAGAACATACAGAGTTGAACAAATCATTTCTTGAGTTGCCATGGAGTCCAACATATTGGAGTAAAGAATGGTCTTTACAGGTTATAAGAGGATTATAGGTCACTAAAGGTTATGTGAAGATCAATTTTATATTCACAGAGTGCCTTGTACGTAAATCTTATCTTTGTTCTTTAAGCATTGATAAGGCTAAAACACAACACGTTGATTGAAGACAAGATGCTACATAGATACAAGGCTGATAGTAAATTATCCAGCACTTTACTAGTTTATGCCCTTGTTGCCATGGCAACATCACCAAGAGCTGGATTCAGCATATTGTCTTGAAATCTACCTATAGAGGTAAGAATTGGGAGAATGGCTAGTCTCATACCCATGTTAAGCTGAGCTCAAAAAAAATAAAAAAATAAAAAATTAAAATATATATTTTTATCTGGAATCAAATATTAAAAGTATTTGGAGAATACACACTATATGAATTCTGATTAGTAGAATCTAGCAGAAAATGTCAAATATTTACAACAAAGTTCTGACTAGTGTAGCACAGATATCTAGATTTGTACTAGGGTATTGATATGGTTTACCATAGCACCTACCAACACCAAGTCCTATTTTGTTTTGTTTGTAATTACGGGATTATGTCGTACATATTTACATGTACGAAATAAGTGTATAAAGAAAGCTAAATTTAAAAAAAAAATTCTATATTTGAGACAAGATGTGCAGAGTAAGCCACGAGGCTCAAAATGAAAGGAAGAAATATTACCAGATAGCTGCACTCACCGTGTATGGCTGTTGTGTTCCTGAAGCCGCGTGTCGCTGCGCATCCTGGTGAGCTTTTACAAGCAGCTGGACAAGCCGTGGGATGACACCAGCTTCATGTAAGGGCGCGTGATTGGCAGGGCATAGAGCAAGGTTTCGGATCAAGCCAATGGTAGCCTACAAATAAATGAAGAAAAACAAAACAAAACTTTTTTTAATTTAAAAGCACTCACTGTCACTTGTGAGATTTCCACACCAACTAAGATCCATAGGTTGTATTTAACAAAAGAAAAAGAAAAATTATATATAAACTTCCACATTTACATAATGTCAGTACAACAGATGCAGCACATAAAAGCAACTCTATGCAGGACACTACTGAAGGAAACCTCCAGGCACACACGTGATTGTATGGTATATGCATATGAAACACAGAATGTGCCGGCAGATAAGAACCATTTGGCCCATCTAGTCTGCCCAATTTTCTAAGTACTTTCATTAGTCCCTGGCCTTTTCTTATAGTTAGGATATCCTTATGCCTATCCCACGCTTAAACTCCTTTACTGTGTTAACCTCTACCACTTCAGCTGGAAAGCTATTCCATGCATCCACAACCCTCTCAGTAAAGTAATACTTCCTGATATTTTTAAACCTTTGCCCCTCTAATTTAAGACTATGTCCTCTTGTTGTGGTAGTTCTCCTTTTAACCCCTTAAGGACACGTGACATGTCATGATTCCCTTTTATTCCAGAAGTTTGGTCCTTAAGGGGTTAAATATGGTCTCCTTTATGGTGTGGATTCCCTTTATTTAAATGTTTCTATCATATCCCTCCTGTCTCGGCTTTCCTCCAAGCTATACATGTTAAGATCCTTTAACCTTTCTTTGTAAGAATATGCTTGAGTATTCAAGTATTTAAAGGAACACTATAGGGTCAGGAACACAAACGTGTATTCCTGACCCTTTAGAGTTAAAACCACTATCTAGCCCGCCTGCCCCCTACCCCCATGCCTTCCTAAATATAGTAAAATCTTACTTTTATTCAGGTCTGCAGATGCTGTCTCTGCCCCTGTTCTGCCTGCTTGTCTGACATCAGGAGCTGAGACTGTTAAAGAGAGAACAGGAGCAGAGCCAGCACCTGACCAATCAGCATCTCCTCAGATGCATCGAATCAATGCATCACTGAGGAAAATTCGGTGTCTCCATGCAAAATAGCAGTCCTGCACTGTGTATAGCACTGCCCCAGGAAGCATAGTAGCCATCGGAGTGGCGGCCAGTGGAGATATCCCTAGGCTGTAATGTGAACACTTTATTTTCTCAAAAGTGTGTTTATTGCAAAAAGTCTTAAGGGAATGATTCTACTCACCAGAACAAATACAAAAAGCTGTAGTTGTTCTGGTGACTATAGTGTCCCTTAAAATATAAATTAATAGCCATCTGAATGGACAAGCTTTAGAGAGCTATGGTTGTTTAGACAACTACAACTAAATATATATGGGAATTTTAACCCAACTACAGCCAAGAATAAGAAAATGCATCAAAATAGAATGCTTAACCCTTTGATAGTTCATATGAGCCAAGCAATAAGATATACCAAGGCTTTTAGATCTACATTCAGTCCATACAGTGTTCACTAAACACCAATCTGTATACAAAATCCTATCTTCGTAACACCTGTGTTCCCCTTCCTACAGGTTGTGGTACGCTTGGTATACATACCTTGACAAGTGGCCACTGGTAGGGCTGGTTGAGCAATTTTACAATAGCTGGAATGCCATAGTGCAACCTCACAGAGTTCTGAGCCACCTCTGCATCTGGGTGGCGGCTTGTCAGGTGGCGAAGGGCGCAAACGGCTGGCTCTGCAATGTCATCCTTGTCGCTTGCTCGCAGAATGGTGTGGATCAGGGCCTCTACACCATTGTTTTGGGTCACCAGAGTCTTGTTGCGGCTGTTGTTGCAAGTCAAGTTGGAAAGAGTGCCCGTGGCGCAGGTGAGAACATTTACATCATCTGAGCTGAGCTGGTTCACCAAGATCTTTAGAACGTTATCCAGGCCATCCTGTGATAAAAAAAAATAAAAAAAAATATATAAGTGTATGTCAGCCTAGAAGAAATTCACAACAGGAAAGTGTGCTACGAACCCTCCAGGCTTGCAGTGGTGAGCAACGTAAAGGGATTCTATAATGCCAGGAAAACAAAGCAGTTTTCCTGGCCCTATTTGTTCCTACAGTGCCCCCTCCCCTGCACTCCCTCTCCTACGGTGCTGAATGGGTTAAAACCCGTCACTTACCAGGGCCGATGTCCCTCACATCTGGGTGAGGTTCCTCCAACGCTCCTCTCTCGCCAAAGTCAGCCGGCAGGGAGGGCCAATACGCATGCATGGTAATGGCGGCACTCACATTAGGATTTCCCCATAGGAAGCATTAATCAATGCTTTCCTAAGGGGATTCCAGTGATTGTGGAAGCAGTTAATGCATAGCGTGAGGACATCCAGCGTCATTTAGACGACCAAAAGTCTTCCAAGCACCCAGAGTTCCACAGAAGTGGAGTAAACCCCCGAGAGGTAATTATCGCAGTTTCTCAGAAAGTGCAATAGTTACCACTGTAGGGTTAAGGGACCTTGCACCCAGACCACTTCAATGAGCCTAAGTGGTCTGGGTGCCTATAGTGTCCCTTTAAAGCCAGGCTAGCAGTGTAGTACATTAATGCGAGGGAAGGGTTGGATTGGTGAGTGAAAACAAGTGTTTAGGAGGGGGATGGAAGCAACCATGGAATAGAAATTTGAGGGAGTAGGAAAAACACCCAAATGTTTTCACACAAGCTCTACTCAAATACATGGGTAACGCCATTGTTTAAAGCAGATCAATTTTGGGGGTCTTTGCATATTGTGTAAAGATCCCTGAAACAGACAGACCCAGTGCGGGTCTGGTGGTGATAGCTTGCAGGATATGGAGTATTAACCTCGGGCTGTCCTTCACGGCCACCACCATAAAGCCGCAGGTCCTTTTCGGCTTCTGACACTTCAGTTGCAAGGAGCCACGTCTGTGTTGTACTTTAGCATTACCAAGAGTACAACACTGAGGTTTATGGGGGACCCCTCAAGACTACAGGATCCTCGATAGACCGTGTCTTAATCCTGCAGCTGTCATTTGTGACAGCTGCTGGAATTTGACAAAAGTTTAAATCCGAGCTCAACCTTTTGTCTACTCTTGTCAACCTCTGACTTTACCATATGAAAGTGGTCCCTACTTTGTCTTCTTGGATCTTTAGATTTCATTGCAATTCCAACACAGTCTTAGTCATAAAGAGCATAGCTTTATGAAATACTAAAAGGGACAGATCCGCTTTAAGAATCAAACCAAGCTCTGCCGGGAAATTACAGATCTGTGTGCTTAAATTCATAGCAAGTTTTATTAGTAGAACCAAGACAATTCATTTTTAAGTTCCGCATGAGGGAATTCTAGTTCATAGTACTAGAACCCATTACTACAACTGTAGTCTACAATTTATACGTTACAAACAATAAAATAAAATGGACCTTTGTGAAGTAACTCAAGGGCTTCCTTTTATTTAAATTTGCTGCTTCAGGGAATTCAAAATGACAAATGGAGATAAATTACAGTCATAGCACCGAACAAAAGCAAGCTACTATTGTAGAATTCATTTTTTTGCCTCGATTTTGCAGTCTGCTTTCTATAGGCTACGATTGAGATTTTAATGATTAACTCTTTTCGGCTGGCTGTTGCCACCTGCATAATTCAAGCATGGCCTCATACATGGCTATTGAGGAAGTATTTCTGCAACAGCACACTCACCAGTCTAACAGTCATCATATACCATTTTCCCCAAAAAATAAGACCGGGTCTTATATTAATTTTTTCCCCCCACGAAAAAACACGCTAGAGCTCATTTTTTGGGGGAGGTCTTATTTTCAGGGAAACCGGGTAGGTGTACTGCGGTTTACAATACTCATACAACTCACGTTTTAAGTTGCTACAGACACCAGCGGGCCATGAGCCATCTCGAGTTAGAGGCCATTAAGTACGGCTGGGTAAACTGGCAAGATGTACATTCCAAGGTGTGCCTTTGCTAATGCAAAGTTCTGAAGGTTTTTGAGGACAATACCGGGTGTGATCCACATTTTAACTGTATACACCCATGTTTTGGTTTAATTGCTTGGCATAATGAAACTAAACCGGTTCTAAAAGCTAGAGAGTCAGGATGGATAAAAGAAACTGGCATTGCAAGCTAGCAGAGGGCAGCACTTTTGAGGCATGGATTACAAATTATGCAGGTTTGCAGATTATGAACAACTGGATGCTGGAATAAATAAAACGTCAAAGATCCTTCAAACTGACACCAGTGGGACCTGCTCTATATTTTAAGTTAGTTCTTCTAGTGTCAATTTCTGAAAGCAAGCCATAAGTGGATTTAAAAAAAAACAAAAAAACAAAAAAAAACCACACGACAGATCCTCCCTAACTTTTTTGGCTTCATGGCAGCTAGTCTCTGGTCCCACCTGTTTAGTAGCCACATCAGAAAGGTTCCTTAAGGTCCAGAGGCAGTTCTGCACAAGTCTTGGGCTGGAGCTGGATAGATGCTTCCCCAGAGCCTGCATACCACCTGGCAAAAGGAAAACCCACATATTACACATGGCACCGTTGAGAAACAAATATCAGCGTCAGGCCTCTGAAGATGGAAAGCCTCAGGACAACATGAAACAAGTACAGGCAGAGAGAATTTGAATGTCTTCGCTCCCTAAATGTTACTCTAGAAAAGCTTAAAACCCCAGACATTTCTGGTTTTCCAGATTAATCTCTGCTACCCAGTTTCTTCCTAGTCATCGACATCATTTGGGGATCCAGCACTTCTCCATTCAGAGGTCTAAATACTTAACTTATCACACCAAGCCAGACGCCTTAACTTGGTGTTTGAGCACAGAGAACTACTCTCTCCCCATCTCTGTGCTTTGAAGTGAGCAGTGTTGTGTGGGTGCCAACAGCAACTCAAGGAACAGGATTCGCAAATCTTTTGCCTGAAGCCAGAAAAGCATTAAGGCAACCTAGGTGATTGTGTAATGCTTGCGGAATGTGAAAGGCCCGGCACTGGGGGCCCTGCAATCCTTATGGGGTCATGCCTACGCACATCTTCCTCTTGCTTACTCTGAACAAATTTTTTTTTTTTTTTGCGCTAATACAAAAAACACACAAAAACCTATCCTGGTCTTTGGACTGTTAAACAGCAATAAATAACTATTCCTGCATTGTTGGGGTGTACAAAGCTTCAGCCAAATAGAATGAGAAATGCCTATAGTTACAAGCAGTCACGTTACCCATAGCAAAACACTTCAGTGTGTGCACCCTGGAATAGCTTAGAAGTACATTTAAGAATATATATAAATAAATGACAAGGGGAAGTGAGGTTATACTTTACATCATAAGTCTAATAAGAGTTCAGACCACAGGGTCACAAGTCCATTGTGCCTTTTATCCTGATCGCATCTAATCAATGAGTTAATGTATACCTCAATAGAAATATAAAATTTAGATAAATGCTACCATTTGTTGCAATTTAACAAGTGAATTTGTGAATATGGTCATATAATAAAACCTACAGCTAGAATTTAAAGGTTAATTTTATTTTGTCACTTGACAATAATGGATATTAGTAATAGAATGAGAGCACTGTGCAAGGACTTCTGGGAATTCCCACTGCCCACAGCCACAGGAGTTTGACTTTGGAAGAGATTGTGATTTCTTCATTCATCAGGATGGCTAATTTTAGCTTTACGTGTGCCCTGTGGTAATAGATGTTAGTCTTTGGTCACTGACTTGGAGGATTAAAGGTAAATATGCTGTGGGGCTTAAACTGCTGTGAGATCAGATATTTTAGTTGAAGCTCTAACGCAGGGGTCATCAAACTGTGGCCCTCCAGATGTTGCTGAACTACAACTTCCATGATTCTTTGAATTACATAGATGGCCAGAGAATCATGAGATTTGTAGTTCAGCAACAGCTAAAGGGCCGGAGTTTGAGGACCCCTGCTCTAACCACTAAGATATCACTTGTCTGCTTAGAGAAAATAAACAAAGCTACACTATAGATGGGGTTGAAAATTCACACTATGAAGCTTTGAATAAAGAACTGTAAGCCATTAGTTTACCTGCTTCAACAATGGCCGGCTTGTTATTGTGGCAGACAGACAGCACTTTCAGCACACGACTTGTAGTCCAAAGAAGTTTTTCATAGTTGTAGGTCCTCATGATCTGCACCAGTCCTTGAGGTCCACCATTTGCCAATATTATAAGCTACGGAGAAATAGGTAAATTTATAGGTTGCCTCAAAAGCATTAGTACCACCGAGTATATAAAATATAGGTTATAAAAATTAAAACATACAACCACATTATGGTTTTCATTTTGTGGGGATATTTATGGGATAATAATAGTAAACAGTGAGAATTGCCCACTAATTCAATTCTCAGACCCAAAGATAGTTATCGTAAGTGAAAAGTATTTCATATAAATAAATCACAATGTTTTAAAAATAGATTTTATAATAAATTAATTAATAATATGTAACATGCGTGACAATCAATGAATATCCAGTATAAAATGATATGCAATACAATGGAATGGGTATACACGTTTCAATGGCTAAACAGCATTTTCTGTCAAGACTTACACGATTTATGAGGTATCCTTAACAGACACAGAAAGCTTTTCACAGCGAAGGGCCATAAAACCCTGGCTAACTTAGAATAACTGAATAACCCTTTCAATGCTGGCTAGATCTCCTAGGTAATTAAGATCTATTCTTATGTAATTTTAAATAAAATAACATTTAAACCAGTTCATTAGTCATTTCCTGGAACCATCCAATAAGAGAATCTACCATGATTATATAAGCAGATTTTAATTTGTCTAAAAGATATCTTATCTTAATTTAGAGCAAATCAATACACCTGGATAAAAACAGCGGTATGCTAACACGTGATACTATCACATTAATATATAATTATTTTAATTCCACCTGCAGAATGGAATGTTTATAACTATATATTCTTTAGTTAACTAAGATTTCTTAATATGGAAATCTGACCATGATTTATCCAGTCATATCATGCTATTAGTAAATTTTAATTAATTTAATTAAATGAAACCAGTATAATTACCAGTTGAGTAGATATTTCATCCGATTGGTAGATAGTCTCAGGAACTTATTTGGAGGTCTCTCTGCATGGAGGTGTGTAGGTAATTGTGTCCTAGAGTGGATATCTGTCATAGGCCTCTCTGCATTGCTTCCGACTGCTCACTTCTTTGCTTTCTTTGCATACCCTTGCATTTCTCGTCTCTCTCCTTTTCTCAACCCCCCTGTCTTCCCTTTGTCCTAACTTTTAAAGGGCCAGACTCTCTGTACGTCATCAGTTGATAACCCAATAGAAGCACTAGAGGTGTGCTTACCTAGGGATCGCAATTTAGGTATTTGGTCTATAGAGGGCAGTCTTGTCCCACTAAACATACCTATCCAGGAAAGGGTTAACTTTTCTTGGTGGCTATTTTGACGTCATTTTGCGTTATCTTTACGTTTGCTATAACTTAGATTTGCTGTCACTTCAAACAGTTTCTTTAAGTTTTGTCCAGACTGTGTCTGGCAAATTCTGAGTTTTGACCCGTAACTTACAATGGGACCTTGTAAATAAAGAAAGTAAAATTTTATTATTTAATCTTCTCTGTCACCAATGTCTGGGTTTAGAATTGATCTATTCCATTACCATTTAGACAGTCTATCCAACCCCCGTTCTCCTTATCACTTGGTTTGTATATACTATGCATTCCTTTAGCTCTGGGAAAGTGGTTAGTTTTACAGAAAGTATAGAAATTTTGTGTCTCTCTTAACTTGAAAATAACAAAATGGAGTCTGGTCTGTTCAGAGTGACTCAGAATATACAATTTTAATTTCTATCATAGCACAAGATGTCTGCCGATATAAATACCCTGACAATTTGCAACCTCACCTTGCTCTCTTGGTTGCCATAGGCCAACAGCTGAAGACAATCTGTGGTGATGGCAAGGAATTTGGGATTATTCTTGTTGAGAAGTGGCACCATTTTTTGGAGGCCATCAGCCAGACGTACGGCCATCTTCGCTCCTTCCTGATACAGGAGCAAGTTGTGTAGGGTGGTAATGGCATAGAATAGCACAGATTCTACTGGAGAACTGAGAAACACAAGCAGTGGTTTGAATGAAGCAGCATTGCTGACGATTATTAGGCTCACTATTATTAAGATCACTACAAAAGTCAAACTGTAATTAAATTATCTGTATGCAAGTGGACAGTTATTTTTACACATTTATCCATATCTAGATTTTTCACTTTTATATAATGCGGTAGACTATATTCAATTAAAGAATGCACGTCAGCTAACCAACAATGCATCAACTTGCATCCATCAGCCTGGTTTATAAAAGGTCTGAGCAAATCATCCTGATCTAACCACAAGAGCTTAATGAGTGCCTTTTTGGGGTTTGGCAATAACTGAATATACCAGCAAAATGTTAAAAAAGGAAGTACAAAATAAAGCCAAAAATTCACCTTCAGTTACACTGATTTATAGGAGCAAAAAGTTAGTGCGGGAAAGGGGGGAAAAAAATAAAATTAAAAAAAATTTCACACACTAGGTTTAGATGAAATTGTATGTATCTTGTTAAGATCAGTATAACTTCATTTAGATACAAAAAACATTCAATAGAACACAAACCCTTTACAGACTCAAGACTGGCAAAAAGATTGCAAAGTAGGTACCTAAGCATGCGAACGAGAGCAGGGATGCCCCCAGATTTGAAGATGGACAGAAGCCCTTCGCGATGGTGGGACAGGTTGTGAAGTATGCTGGTCGTGCAACGGGCTGTCTCCATGTCACTGGTGTTTTGCATGGTGCGTACTACAGCTGCTACGATCTGTGGGGACTGCATCAGTGCTCGGCGGGATGCCTCCTTCTTGGACAGTTGATTCACAATCATGGAGGCCTTGTTGACCACCACCTACCATGAAAAATCCCACAATTATAAAACATCTTTCAAATACAGATTTCTTTATACCTTGCCTTATTACAGTAAATCCTGGGTTTGGGTCTTGCTATGACCTCTATGCTGTATGACATTCTATAAAACAAACGGTATGTTCTAGATACTATTGAACATCTAAGACACCACTATAAAAACAAGTTAGCGACTGGATTTTTTGTTTTATACTTTAACTATAACTATACTATAGTTTTTCCACTTTGAAGAGTATGCAATAATTAGATAAATGTGTCCAAGTGAATAAGGACCATACCGGGTCTTCATCATTGAGAAGCTTGGTAAGCTCTGGAATAGCACGGGTGGCCAGCTCAGCATCATCCTGGTAATTTATCAGGTGTACAATGGCAGATTTCAGCATCTGAGAAGGCTCGGCTAATTTCTGAACATTGGTCTGTTGCCCATCAATCTGAGTGGTTAGCAGGTAGGACTGATCTTCTACGGTCTCTGGATACATGGCTGCACGAACTCGCTGCGCACGTGTCATGTTTAACTGGGTCTCCATGCTGGAGCCTGGGGGAAAAAAAAGAATATAAAGAAAATGAAATTAAATAGTTAGACCAAAAAAAAAAAAAACACAAACACAATCCTGGACCCAACAGCATAAGATGAAAAGGAAGTTTAGCAAATAGTGTCATGTGTTGATTGACTTCATGGGACTGTATTCTAAGTTAACATTGATACAGTCACACTGAGATATAGATAAAATTCCCCATATTAGAATAGTTTACCTATAGGTTTGAAAGACAGGTTGGTTTGTGAATAGGACAATCTCCTAATGCCACAAGTCCTACCTCATTGACTACACATTGGCTACCCTTACCTAGTAGATCTAAAATATCACATGGAACCTAGTACTACATTACTGGAATATTTTACTTTAGATACAGAAGTATAAATAAAACGATATCACTATCTGTAACCTACTTACAGAAGACCAGCTCTATATTTACCTTCTTGCATTATACTCGTTTAAAACAGTCCAGACTTCCTAAACAAGTTCCCATCCAGTCATGCTCATCAAATCACGATAATCTATTCATAAGCCAGTAATAGACTGACATCAAACTGCAGCATAGAAATTAGTACCAGAAGCACTAATTACCAAGCCTAATTTGATTATTTGCACAAAAAGGAAATGGGTGACATGACACAGTTGGCAAGCGGAATGCAAATAGGAATAAATGCTATTAAGCACATGCTCACGAATAGAGATTGATAGACGAAGGATTTTTTTTTTAAGCATCTCATAGGAAATTAACCAGTTTCTATTATGGCTTAATTAGTCAGAAAGCACCTTTGAAATGTCCAAAGTGCACCATTTACCTGTACCCAACGTGTCCGTTCTTATGACAGAAGTTAGGAGACATACGAATTTTAAAAAGGCACAAAATAAATTAAGGATCTGGCACCATGGTAACTGGCGATTAAGCCAGTAACAGCTTTTAAAGGGGTTGCTTAAATATGCTGTGGACAAGCACACAAACAATAAAGCCTTTATTTGCTTTACCCAAGGACAGAATCATTGCCACATTACAGTTAGTGTTGCCAGCTGTAGGAGATGGAAACGCTACAGTTTCCCTTAGAATTGTGTGCTGCCCAAATCTGCTGCTTGAATAAGCCAACAATAGTTTGCAAATCTAGCAGGATCAGTATGGCAAGCACTCTCTGCTACCTCCTGATGTTCCAAAGAGAAGAAGAAAAAAAAAATTAAAAAAAATGGGGGGAGACATGGAAGGTCTACAGAATATGGGAATTGGGAATACCCCAGAGCAAGAATTCCGGTTCCCTTATGTTTTCAGGGGCAAAATACTGGCACAGGTAGAAGGAAGGAGACAGCAATTTTGCAAAATTCAGCAAAGCCTTTTTCCTGATTAGCAAATATGAGTCAGCCTCACAAAAGAGTGACTTCGCTGTACAAAGGGATCTCCTTCAGTCATATCAGTAGAAAATTTTATTTATTTTTTACAAAAAAAAATAAAATAAAAAAAATAAGTATAAAGCCATTGCCCCCACTCCAAACACCTGGTTCTAACATTAGCAGTTACGGCAACAGAAAACAATTCAAGCCATATTGTACTTTAATAATGCTACGTACTTGGTACTTGCTGCTGCTGCTGCTGCTGCGTGTACGTTGTTGTTTTCACTGTGTACTGGTTAGGGTAGCCCATACCATCATCCTCCATCAGTAAAGTCTTTCCGTTGAGTGATGGGGCCGACGTGTTCATTCCAGAGTTTATTCCAGAGTCATAAGTGTACGTTTTTTGCCATTCAGTGACCTTAATAGGCCGATCTGCTACTTCTATCATCTCCATTCTTCTTCTGCAAGGGAAGAGACCATCAAAGTTATTATTTGAGTCTCAATGGCCTTATATACACACCCGTTTTATATATGAGCTTTCTACAGGACAACATAATGTTTTATAGCAAGACAGAATACCGGTAGTTCTAATTCGCACAGGAATGCAGACATTAACACAGCTATTCACTAACCTCTGAACGCTAGTGCATATCACATTGCAAAACACAGGATAATACGTTTGCCAATCTGGAGGTTTTTTTAAACCAGAGCAACTATTTCTTAAAAATTTTGCTCAGCTGATATAAAATTGCGCAAGTTCAATGTTTATTGAATAAGTGCTTTAAAAACTGATTCTATGTATTTTAAAAGCCAGACCATTACTCCGTGCGGATCATACCAACTGGTTTGCAACATTATTAAAGTGTTATTTCAAGAGTTCATTTAATAATATGGCACAGAATGTTTTCCGAAACCATTCCACCAAAAATAAAAAAATTCCATAAAAACCACAAAAACACATCTATACAGACATAGATGTTTTAAGTCTGGGACACAAAGACAATTTATAAACAATTTACTGCGGTTGTATGGGACTGTTCACATAGCTGTGCCACATGACAGCATAAGGCACGGGTGCTCAAAAGCTAGACCCCAAATGTAGAACTACAACTCCCATGATGCTTTGTAGGTCTTTAGAATGACAAAGCATCGTGGAAGCTGTAGTTTTAAATTAAAACCTCTGGGGATCTACCTTTTGGGCACCTCTGGCATATAGCATTCATGCTTTTAATGAAGCAAACATCTTGGACATTCACATTGTGCGATACACAATTCTCCATCCTGGATGAATGCAGTAATGTGTAATACAGTGGATTATGCTGAAAACAAACTAGGAGAGGTTTCTACTGACTAGTCTAGGCTTTGCCCTGTAATCAGCAACATTCCAAGAAGTGTGCAAAAACAAACTCATTGGGGAGTAGGAAAAAAAAATAAAAAATTAAATTAAAATAAGCCGAACCCTGTAAGATGAACCTCAAAATAAGATTCCATAAAATTTAATAAGCTCTACATTGCAAATTCTCAAACCAGTCCCTAGGGAACATTACGAGACCAGATTTAATCAATATATCCATTAGAACAAAACCAGGTAATTACCAAGTTCCAACGTACACTAAAACGGCACAAAGTGCTGATCATGCCCACTGACACACATAAAACAAACCATTAATAGAAAAAACAGAATCATACTGAATACTGCACATTACACTGGATCTTAAGAGGACATTGGTTACTTAAAGTTAGAACTGGTCAGGATTTTCAAATTTAAGTCAACAGAACCCAACACAGTGCTGACTGTGTATTTATCAGTTAATCTAGTTTTGCCTTGAATTAAAGTTCATTTTAACGTGTCCAACAGTTTTCACAAGACTGAAAAACCCTCGTCAGTGCGGAACAGATTTATTCCTAGCGCTCAGTGTTCCTTTCACAAACTGTGCAATAAAGGAAAATTAAAAAGAATCATAGTTTGCAGGAAATGTGTAGGGAGACTGGGAATGTCATCCTAAAGTGGTCTTGCTGCTAAGAAAGTATCCCTTTCAAACAAAGTCAACAACACATGCATAGACCACCACTCCAAGTTCCTGCAACCCCATCAGATTTTCAGCTGCTACAGTGAGGCGAGGCTGTAACCTAAACTAAGCAGCAGAAACCATTTTAAACGAATCGTATCACTTCCATCATAACAGATATGACTTCAGCATTGCTAGACAACTACTATGACGTAACATTCCTACTTTATGCCAATCTAGCTTACCTTGGCTGGCAAAACAGAACGAGCCCCTCCCTAAACAAGACAAAGAAAACTATTTTTCATTAAATACTGTATCTTTAGATTTTCCGGTACGGAATTAAAGGCATGGAGTGTTAGAAACATTATAATGCAAACAAACAAACAAAAAAAAAAAAAAGGCAAAAAGAAAGTGTGAGAAGAGTGAACAATCGTAATTAAACAAGCAGAGACAAAGCCAGACACACCCTGAAGAGGAATGTCAGCCTGTCACAGACATGGCTTCCTCTGGACTTGCAGTGGGAGGGAGCCGGACAAGCTGGTTCACCCAGAACATGGTGATTGTGTGGGGGAAGGGAGGAAATTGTGTCACCTCTTCCCACAGACAAATGCCAAAGTCTCATGGGAGGAACGGGGAGAGATAAATAAATAAAAATCCGGTCAACAATGAGTAAAGTGGATAGTACTAACAAACCTTACAGACCGAAATTGCCCAACTAACAAAAGACAAATAAATAAAATCTATTCCTTCCTCTGACACAGGATAACAAACCTGGCCTTAAGATGCCACTATGAATCCTTCCAAAAAAAACAGAACATCCCCTTAGAGATTTAGGTTGGGCAACAAAATGGTTATAACTATTGTAAATTTCATCTAGCCTACAGTTCCAGTAGGTCAACCGTGTTTTGTTATGATTTAGTGTTGGTCTTGTTTACCTATTGTACAACGCTGTGGAATATGTTGGTGCTATATAAAGAATTGCAATTTAGCAAGACAACAAAAACCCACATATTCTGCAATTCAACAGCAGATCACACTAGGAATGACACTATTCTGAGATGCACACAAAGAAAATTTGTTAAAAAAAAAAATATATAAAAAAAATAAATAAATAAAAAAAGACTTAAAATGTCAGAAACTTTACCCTGAACAAGCTATTAACTTGCAGGACAGTAAAAAGTTATATATGTATGTGTGTAACAAGTTTGCACACATCCCACAAAAACACATTCCTCTGCGAGTCATTGCAATGATCCAAACATACAGCATCAGGACTGCATATGTCAAGGTTACAGGAGACACTCAAATATCTAATGTAAACACTTAGGGGGTCAAAGCATATATATATGAAGATGCTGGAGGTCTTAGAAAATGTGCTTCCTAAATAGAAGCCAGGTTTGCATTTGGCTCACTCAAGAGAACACGCAACAGTCTGTTAGCAAAACCCCCACTTTAGTGTATAGATCCATAGGTGTTCAGTGATGTGCATTTAGAAGCAGTACCAGTACATACAAATCTGCAAAATACAGCCGTTACCAGGAGCACTATCATGGAACAAAAAAAATGAAAGCTTTTTTTAGAAAAATATTCTGCCAATTAAGACCATGCGCTTGCTAAAGTTTTAATACGCCTGTTGCACAGCCAACCCTTGCCCACACTGTCAAATACACCCATCATTCCCAGCCATACTTCCATCCATTACATTTACCAGAATGCAGACAGCTAAACAGAACAAAAAAGTCATATTTGTTGTGAAGGGAAGTGTATTTAAGGTAAAATGTGATGCTAGTTTGTCCTGCAACATATCAATGTCCACGTGGGCAGAATTGGTGAAATATTTGGCAGTTAAGTGCCATTGGGCAAAGTGCAAGACACTGGACAATTCTGCCATATGAATTGTATTTAAAAAAAAAAGGTATTGAAGCAAATTCACATAGATATATCGGGAAGCCATAAAAAGACATCTGAATTTAGCAAACGTCAAATAAATATTGATCATTTACCAGAACGTTAATAAGCAAAGCATTAAAGAGCTCGACAACGATTGGTTAAAAAAAAAGTTATGTACCATTGCTAGCACACAATGCATATGAACCATTTGTAGATGTACTGAATAAATGCTCGCCTTTATTTGGCAAGACAAAGCCAAGTTTGCCTATACTTTCATTAAAGAACACTACATTTGAGAGTCAGGTGACCTATGCATATTACCCACAATGCACCCACATGGCTAGACCTTTAATAGGTGTACTGTTGAGACTTCGCTAGCTGCCACTCGGGATAGCTGTGAAAATAAATGAATGCAATGACAGGACACACTGCCGTTCTGGGATTTGATGCCTTTTCCTCATACAGGGAATGAGACGGCTTGTCAAACCCATTATCTTACGTGGCCTGGTATGCTCTCCTAGAGTGCTAAATAATGCACTAACTGACACATCCACTTTCCATCGTGGAGCTCGGAAGCAAAAAAAGGACAGACACTGGCTTGTAGAGATGGTTTGCCATTTAAAGGTGAAGTCACTCTACTCGCAAAGGGATGGTACCTGTGAAAGAACCTACTTTTTACACAACTGCTGTTAAATAAGAGCATATAAAATATGAACTACAAGACATATCCCATAACACATGCATTATTCATGCTCGCTAGTTTTCTTGCAGGGTTTTGCACATCAGTTTTATTAGTCCATCCGTTCGGTCCATGTAGTGTTTGTTAGCTTCCATAAACCAATGCCCTGCTCAGGATGAGAAACTCAAAAATTATATTATACATTACACATATATCTCTATATCTATCCATCTATCCATGATCACAGACTGTCAAAATAGGGATTTGATTAGAATTTAGCAGCTACAAATGTCTTATTTTTAATATTTTTTTTTTAAATTGCATCTACATAATGAAGATAAAAAAAAAAATAAAGAATTAGTCTCAGCCAACGGTGCCAAGCTAAGAAACCTGCACACAAGTTGGAAATTACGTCAACGACCAGGGAACATTGAGGAAAAGCTTTTCCCAAACAATGTAATCTTGACTTAAAGCAGGATGCTTCAACACAAAAGAAGAGGGACCTTCTCTGCAGACCACATGGCACAATGACTCCTGCGTTCATCTCAGTTACCTGACTAACTTAGAAGAAGTTGGTCTAGATTCCAATACAAATAAAAACTGCAAAAATTTTAATAAACTCAGAATTCAATCATTCACAAAACGAGTTTCAGAGTTGTCTAAAGGTCATAGATTAATTGGAGTTAATCTGATTCCTTTTGAATGTACTATCCTGAGCAAGAAAAATCCCAATTGTGATTCCATCTCTGTGTAGTTGCTGCAGCACCACGTCAAATGTATTTAGATACACTGCAGGTATGTGCTGGTAGGGACAACTCAACTGCCCAAAATAAATAAAGTCATTGTTTAGTAGATACGCCAAATGAAAACATTCATGCAATTATGTATTTTTTTTCCCATCAGGGAAGATCTAAAAGCAGTTCTCTTGCCTGCAGCCTTTGCAAGTCAGGTACTCAGGAAGATTGCAGTCTGTAGAGTTCAGTGAAAATAAGCCAACCAAACCAGGAAGTAACAGGAGTAAAAATAGTCTGCTGTGTAACCAGTATTTTTTTTTTTTTTTTTTTTTAAATAAAAACACACACACACACAAAGCTTTTCGGGCAAGCTAAAGTGCTATAGGGGTTTGGAGTGTCCCTTTAACCCCTTAAGGACCAAACTTCTGGAATAAAAGGGAATCATGACATGTCACACATGTCATGTGTCCTTAAAGGGTTAAGGAGACTAAAATTAAGAAGCACATAATCTTTCATGGGGGCTAAATGATCCATTACAATTATAAAACAAGTGTTAGTAATCGTTCTGTTGGTGTGGTAACAAAGATTCACAGATAAAAAGCAGGCAGGATTTGGCGTAATGCTGCCTGCTTGGGCAATGTGAGAAGCATCACTCCTGACCAAGCCCAGGGCTGAAATGGGTCAATATGAATATGCGTTGCTCTATATCAGTGACTCACAGCAGGAATGCTCAGTCTTTGGGAGAAGACACTGGCTTGCATTAAAGAAATGTATGCATTTCAAAAGAGATGATTTACACTATACACTTCAGGCCATTGTATCCACATTACACCATCCTTAAAAAACAAGTCTCTGCAAGTAGCAATACTGTAGGAAAACCTTAGAGCTCAAAGAAAGCCTCATTCCTTAACTAAAAGTTGTTATAAATTGGAGGCTTAGATCAAGGGGTGTAAAACTTCCTTGGGGGTTTCAAGGCTGACAGTTTTCGGGACTTTGATCACATGTTGACATGGTTTTTATACATATAAACAGAGGCATTTCACAGTGATTTACAGCAACAGTTATTGTCGCAACCAGTTAAAATTGAGGGGGAAAAAATAAATGCAAATAGTTTAGTGGCCAATTAAAAAGCATTATTAAAATTTTCAATTATTTGTGTTCATTTTAGAGCAAGAAAGTGTAGGACTGGAGCAGAGTAGCACTTTAATAAGAATGAATGAATTTTTAAAATCTTGGACAGATTTTAGGAGCACAAAAGGTCACATCTCTTCAAATGAGAATTCACCTAAATATTACTGCGCAGGCTTTGTGCACATGTGTCATATGAGGAGAAGCACAAAAAAAAAAATTTAAGGATTTTCAAATTTAAGGCAAAACTAGGGGAAAAAAAATAAAAACTACAAGTCCGTTTTGTTTCCAGACCAGCTACTTGAGAATTCAAAGTGCTTTTCAACTTTAAGACCCAACAATTCTCACCTCAGTGAATAACCCTTCAATACTTTTTCGGATCAAAATCAATTAAGATAGTAACGTTGAAATGTAATGTTAAAGGGACACTAGGGTCAACAAAACAACTGTAGCTTAATGAAGTAGTTTTGTTGTATAGATCGTGCCCCTGAATGGAGCAGTGAAACTTTAAAGGCATGATCCATACACGATATCGGCGTCATAAAGCTTAAGTTGTTTTGGGGACGATAGAGCCTTTAAACAAACAAGTAGGTAAAACAAAAATGCATTGTGCATGGCTGATTGTATTTTCAGCCAGTTACAACTTTAAAAAGGAGCACTCCAAGCGCCATCATTAATGCAGCTTCTGATCCATGTATGGCCACCATAACAGCAAGCTGTAGTGGTTATGGTACTGCAAGTGTTTATTTCTATAGTGGACTACAAAATCCCTACGGTAAAACATTGGCACTATTCACCTATGGAGTCATGCTGCTGTAAATGTGCTCTGCTGTACAAGATTATAGTTTAGCATTAAGCAGTTAAATGCCCTTTTAAGATTTCATTTTCAGTAACAGAATCAGACTAACTGGAGACACATAAAAAGCTTTCTTTCTGCAGGGCAAGGAATTTCTCTTCAGTCTTGTCAAATCCATTTGCTATTAGAGTCTTTGGTTAAAGCAAATTCTGACCGCCCTGACTCACGTGCCACACAATTACTGAGATACGAGCAAACTTGCTTGTTAGTCACACAAATGATTACCACTAAATTAGACAGCCGACCAGATATAAATACCTTCTCAGCTTCACTTTTCACATGAACACAAAAACAGCCACTGAACACCAAGTTACTCACACAATTCAACTGAACATTCAAACTCCTTTAGAAGTAGGTTTTTAAAATGTTCCAGAGACAAAATTTAGTCAGAAGGCTTGGTCTGCAAGAGGTTTGTGGATAAAACTCCTTAAACGTTTGATACAAAAAGAAACCTTACGCGTCAGCCACTTTGTATTTCAGTGGAGTAAAAACATAACCTATGAAATTACAAATCCATTGCTTTCAGGTGGACTTCTGTAGGACTGTGTTATTAGAAAGGATTCACCATTTCTATTAAATCTACCATTGATATTTTGCCATTTCCCCCCTCCCAATCTAGTTTAGTCCTTGCAATGGAGGAGAAATATTGTTTGAGCTGTCAGGTACGCTCGCTGTAGAAGAAAAAAAGTCAGCCCCACAACAGGAGAATGGTTTAGTGAATACAAATTAGAGTTTTGGGGAGACTGGGAAAAGTCAGATGATAACCTGGTTGTGTAGCATAATTAAGAACAAGAGATGTCAAGGTAATTCAGATTAGGTTGTCTTGTGTTGAAATTATTTCTTTAATGAGGACAAAATGAGCCTAACAGTGGAGTCTCGAGGATGACAATGAACAAAAATATATGGATGATTGCTCAGTATAGATCTAAAAATAGACTGATTTTAATACAAATGTCGACACAACAACCAAATAAGCGTTTTACAATGAAACAATGGCCAATACACTCAACTACAAGCACCATAACCACTACAGCCAAGCTCTGCAGCACCAGGCTTTGCTCAGTCTTGACAGATTCGGTCGCTCACCAAGGGGTAGTGGAGGCTGGGAGTGAGTGACACCCAGCAAGAAGTCAAGCCATTCTGAAAACTGACTACTTACAATGGTGGGTGTCTGCCCAACTGGCACCATAAACAGCAGGCTATAGTGGTTATGGTGCTTTGAGTTTTCCCTTTACAATTAACGACCTCTCATTAACAAAGACTCATACCTAATCACATTCTATAAAGCTCTGTTTTATTTTATGTTACAAGAAGGTAGTGAAAAAAAACAAAAAACAAAAAAAAAAATTTACACACAAAATTCTACCCAGGTTAGATTTTAATAGGCTCTATGTTTAAATTAGTTATCACACAGAGGCTAGTCCTGTTACGCAATACTAAACAGGCTTGCCATTTTATAAATTAACAGCAATCTGTCAAGATAAAAAGACTAATGGAATTTCAGACCCAATTCAGTGGGAATATCCTTTCAGTGCATTAGGCATCCCACAATACATTATGGCTGACACTAGAAGGAAGCGGGTTACATTTTCAGGGCTCGGGGAGTATAGTTCAAGTCGAGCAGGATTCATTAAGCTCACAGAAACAGAGATAAGCAGCTCACGAATTCCAAGGACTTTCTAGAGACTGCTTTGTAATCAAACATCAGGTTTAGCTGTAAGTACGATGAAAGACTACTTTAGATTGTCCCAGAGTTGCGGTATCGGTACGGACTGCATAAGACTGCAAAGTTGGAAAAATTGGGTTCTGACCTTGAGACGCCAGGGGGTGAATAACACATTTGGGAGTCAGAGCAGGGAAGCTGACGGAATGTGGTCCAAATAAAGAGGGCAGGAAGGGTCATTGGTTGGAAGCAGCTCCTTTGCTAAATTGTATATGAATTTATAGCCACATAGCTCAACATACAACATGGCAACCCTAACTCACTATGGATCCCATACAAAAAGCAGGCCTGCTCATGATATGGCAAGTGTCACGATGAAGTACGCAGAAGGTGTATTTGTTTACCTTTTTAATAAGTTGAATCCATACATTAAAGAAAATATAGTGTAAAGAATATCAAGTCGTGCACATTCATTTTTTCACACTGAGAGGCCCTTAAAAGTGCACACTATTTATATACCAACTTGTCTTAAGAGTGCAAAAGTCTCTTGTAAATTGCAGGGACTGAATATGCCCATCAGAACAAATACAATAAGCTGTAGTTATGGTGACTATAGTGTCCCTTTAAGCCACATGAGATGCATAGAGACAAGTTGAGATATTTCTAGGTTCATTATGGAGGTCCTAGGAGAACATGGTTGGTGTAAGAGAAAATAGTCCAGTTGAACATGCAGCCACTTCTCAAGATGGTGACATGACATTTTCCCCCTACGATAAATTAAGCTTGGTGTAATACGGAATCTATGCAATGAAAAAAAAAAAAAAAAAGGACCTGGCACTCCTAGTCAAGTTAGCTGGTAGCAGCTTTAAAGGGACACTAGGCAGGGAGACCACTTTGGCTCTATTCAAGCTCTGCATGAGGATAAAACCCCATAGGGAAGCAATGATCCCATGCTTGCTTGTTGGGTAGTGCTAACGTGAGCATGGCAATTGCAGCCATGTGCATTAGGGCCAGACATATGGGGGGGGCTGGGAATCTGACCCAGTGCAGAGGGACATTGGTTCAGGTAAGTGACAGAACCCTTTATGTGCCTAGGGGGCACTATTGTGCTTTGTATTCCTAGCACTATAGCTTCCCCTTAACATAGGGAAACTGGCAGCCAGATTGATAGACACCCATCAAGGAAGTAGAATTACATTTTCGTTTGTTACACAACAGAGATACTAAAAATAGTTTATAAAAATTACTCAATTTCCCACCTTCTTTCCCCACAAACATTTCCAAGAGCATGGAGCCAAGAGACCTATAACTGATTCATGCACACATATCAATATATTCAGCAGCTTTCCATTTGGCATCCTGGACAGATTAGATACATTCCCTAGGCAATGTTTCTCAAGTATAACAAGGCCAGCTGAATGAATCAGAAAATACATTTGTGGGGGTGCAAGTCACCAAACTTAAAGGGACACTCCCCTTCCCAAATCAATAAAAATGAGTTTGGTGTATACACTCCCAATGAACACATGCATGCATTTAATTATGAATTTTGTTTCTAAATAAAGCTTGCAAAACCTGTAGTTCTCTCGTCTGAAGTCTTTGCAAGCCTCCCCTTCTAACCTCTCAGACTTCCCAATGTAGGTGGTTCTGGACAATTGTTGCCTCTTGGTTTTAGCTCCACAACAAGTAACAGTCACTCAGTACCTGTTCTGACCACTAGAGGAGTGCAACCAGGCTAATCTATCAAAGTCTGCACTTTCTGCAAAATGGGGAATAAATAAAATAAAAATAGGAAACACTTCAGCAAGCTAAAGCACTTTAGGGGTATATGTGCCTCTTTAAAGCAGCACTGACACTATCTGGGGATAGCCCCTCCCGACTGACATTACTGGTGGGAGCCCAATGGCCAATGTGAGATTTGTTTTTTTAGAACCTTTCCCTCATGGGTGCGTCCATCTTAATGCAGATTACACAAGAGTACAGCACCGAGGTCTATGGAGGATTCTGCGATACCCTCCATAGACCGTCAATTTCCTGCAGCAGTCACTGGCGACTGCGGTCAGGATTGACATTTAGATTCCGGCCAGAGTCAGACGGAGGAGAAATACAGACAAAGCACCACTTTAAGGCGATTTCAACTTTATTACAGGAAGTCTGCCTTGTGTTGGCTTCCATTTTGTGAACATGTTCTTTTCCAGATTAGAAACCTTTATTTGAATACAGCCTGTATGTCAAGTGGCTCAAAACTGCAACCAGATTACGGAACGGATTTCCAGTGCCCCCTTCGACAATAAGGGCCAAGAGTAGCAGCCTGTACTTCAGGTGCAATATCACATGTTTGCATAGGACTGAACGTTCCTAGATTAAAGATAGCTTTTGTAGCAAATGTCTGCAGATCGCTTTTAATTAATTAATTTTTTTTAATAAAACACCAACTATAGGAGTTCGTGGATATACGCAATGCACTCAGTAGCACACAATGCTTATATACACTGAATGTCAATTCTGGAAATTGCCATTATGCATGTTATAAAAATAAAAAAAAAATTTTATATATATTTTATTTATTTATTTAAATTTGGCTCTAGTATCTTTAAAGACCACTCCACAACCATAAAGCTCCACAGCTTGATTAAAAGGGACAATATAGTCACCAGAACTACAGCTTTTTTTCATGCAAACACTGCCTTTTCAGAGAAAAAGCAGTGTTTACATGGCCTCTAGGGACACCTCCAAGTGGCCACTCTTTAGATTTCCACTGGAGGGGCTTCCTGGCTCAGTGCTGCACGGTAAGCAGCCGTGCATCTCCATGAGGAGGTGCTGATTGGCCTAAATTGTGTTGGCCCTGCCCCTTGCCAATTTTAGCCAATCCAATGCTTTCCCCATGGGAAAGCATTGGATTGGCTACAATTGACCATTCTGATTATGTCACCAAGGGGGCGGGGTTAGAGCCAGCAGACTCATGGAGAGCTGAAAATAAGGAGAGTTTTAACCCATTCTGACGGGGACAAGTCACCTAAATGGTGTTTTTTTCACCATAGCATTATGTCTATTAAATGCGTCGCATTAAAGCTGCTACATAAGAGTGTTAATCCTTTAACCCCTTAAGGACACATGACATGTCATGATTTCCTTTTATTCCAGAAGTTTGGTCCTTAAGGGGTTAAGACTTATTCTCCATCTACCCTTCTTAAAGGTTTAAATATGCCAATGTTTATTCTTAAAGGACCACTATAAGCACCCAGACCACTTCAACTTAATGAAGTGGTCTGGGTGTCAGGTCCACCTAGGGTTAACCCTGCCTGCTGTAAACATAGCAGTTTCAGGGAAACTGCTATGTTTACATTAGGGTTAATCCAACCTCTAGTGGCTGTCTCATTGACAGCTGCTAGAGGCACTTCCTACTGTGATTTTCACAGTGAGAAGACGCCAGCGTCCTTAGGAAACCATTGAGAATGCTTTCCTATGGACCGGCTGAATGCACGCGCGGCTCTTGCCGTGCATTCAGCCGATGACGTCCAGAGGAGGAGAGTACCCAGCGCCAGAGAAAGGTGTTTAACCCCCTTCCTCGCCATGGGAGGGGGACCCTGAGGGTGGGGGCACTATAGTGGTCCTTTAAGGAGATGGGGGGCTGATTCTCTGGATTAAACACCCTTTTGAATAGTGAAAAGGGTCTAATGGAAAGGAAAAGGTGCTAAATTTGCTTATGTAAAGCACTTGAAGCTGCAGCAGTACAAGTCAAACAACTGTCATGCAAATAGCGGAGGTGATTAAAAAAAAAAAAAAAATGACATCCTTACTTAGAAGTCTTCTGTGGACCAGATAGAGAGCTGTTGAAAGGAGAGAGATCCCTTGATATGCACATAGGAATAAATTATTAATCATTAACACTGCCCGATAAATATGTTTAGAGAACTAATGATTGCTCCTTCTCTCACATACACTTTTAAAGCCACAAGAATAAAAAGCATCCACTGCATCGAAGGAAGTAGCATGCTTTCTAAAAAGATCTCAAGTAGAGCAACAGAATGCATTCCCTGAAAACACCTCAGGTCAAGCACAAATTGGGTATTCCCACCATAGAGAAATGTAGCAATGAAGTGAAAGAATGAACACAATGTCATGCGCAATCTTGAAAAGAAATGGCAACGTATTATGTCCTGCTGAAGTGTGCTGCGAACAATTCTACCAGTGTACTTGCAAGCCAGGCCTGTGGCAGGAGTTAAGAGTCAGCACTTCGATTCCTGAGCAATTGGTTATACAACCAACAAGTACAAGAGGCAGTACGCAGAGATTACTTTTGTATGTGTAGCCCAGGGACTGGGGAACAAAATCCTTTTAGGCTTTGTATGCCAAGACAAGACAATGCAGTGTGCTGAAAGAGCTATAACTGAATGACTCAGTGAACACAAAGATCGCTGTAATATTTGGGTAAGGCATTCCCCCCCTTCAATTCATCACATCGAAAGCCACTAAAAAAAAACCAAAATGTAAATTAAAAGAAATTTGAAAAGTCATTCTCAGCCCTCGGGGGAAGAACAAAACAAACCATACTTTATATTGGATGTTGAAGGGACCAATTTAAAAAAATTAAATAAAATAGACTTACTAGAAGAGTACCATTTTCCCTGCCTTTGCAAAGCCCCAACTCCATTTTTGGAATGAACATTCTTGGACTACAGTATGCTAGACCTAGGCACCATACACAAATTTCTTCTACATGGAACTCAAAGGATTAAGGTCCCTAACAGGGTTCATTCTTGAAATACCAATAAGGAGATATTCTACTAGTTTGCATTGGGTGCATCTCCCATCTCTGGCTTCTGTCAATCTGCCAGCCCAAAATAAAGACCTTAGGGCTAGCAAGATTGGCTTTCCTAGTGCTGTGTACCGGCTAGCGAAATGTCCCTGCTGGGTACACGCAGCCCAAGACACCCACCATTGATGCACAAACGCAACACGCCGGCTCAGGTTTTGAGAATGCGTTTATGTCTGGGAATTGCAAGGTGAGCATGAGTTGACCCCTTTATAGCAGGTGGTTGGGCATGAATGGTGAAAGGAGTGGTCAGTCCTCTCGCAGTTAAAGGACCACTATAGTGCCAGGAAAACACTAGTTTTCCTGGCACTAGGGACCCCCTCCCGCCGGGCTGGATGGCGAGGAAAGGGTTAAATCTTACCGCCGGGTGGGGAGCACTCCTCCTCTTTGGCTGAATGTGCATGCGCGGCAGGAGCTGCACGCACATTCAGCCAGTCTCATAGGAAAGCATTCATAATGAGAAGCACGCAAACGCCTCTAGCGGCTGTCAATGAGACAGCCACTAGAGGCTTTAGAGGCTGGATTAACCCATTTATAAATAGTTTTTTTTTTTTTTTTTTTAAGTTAACCCTAGCTGGACCAAGCACCCAGACCACTTCATTAAAGGGACACTGTAGTCACTATAACCACTTTGTCTCTTTGAATTGGTTATAGTGCCTGGAGTGTCCTGGCACTGTCCCTCCATTCAGTGTTGCACTATGTTTGTGCAGTATGCCACAAAATAAGAGTCCCTGGCCACCCACAGTCCGGCCCCTTCTGTATGTGTAGCTAAGGCAGAGATTACACACTTCCTTGTTGTCATACCCATTCATGCAGTCAGTTGGAGCTCTGACAGGTTAAAAGCAGTAAGCTGACACTCTCAGCCAATCACAGCTGCCCATTGCCGCTCAGGGTAATACTTCCTTATTAGCCAAAGCAGCACAGAGGGGATGGACTGCCGGGGTCTCTTGTTTAGCATTAAAACATTACAACATTAAAAACGGTTTAGTGCTGAAAGAAATGATGGCACCAGGGGACGCCTTATATTATAACCAGTTTAATGAGATGAAGCAGATACAGTGCCTACGGTGTCCCTTTAAGCTGAAGTGGTCTGGGTGCCTAGAGCGGTCCTTTAAGAAAATTTTAAAAACCCACAACTTACAAGACTACACTATAAAAATTTCAAAACACCCATTTTACATAGCACATTTTATAGACGACACCCCCTCCCAAGAATGTGCATCTATTGCAAGGCTATAAAATTATAGAATATAAACGAGTATAGTTCAGATGCATTTTAAATCCTACCCTTAAGTTCTGCAGAAAAGTTCAGAAGAAAATATAAATAAAATAAAGTACCAATGTTTGAAATAACCAGGATAGAGAACAAGTTAGCATAAATTATATCTGCTAAGTATTAAATAAAGAAATCACACAGATGCGTGCATATGAATCTGGATAATGGACTTTTCAATGTGAAAGAATTATAGGCTGTAAACTGAAAGGACTATATAATTGGACACTCCGGTTCTTTGCTTTCTATTCTAGAAGGGATGAACAGCCTCACTAGACCTACAAACCATTCACAACCCATTAGCACACAATGGATCTGACAAAGACTGCTTTGGCATTATAAGTAAATGTACTAAAGAGTAAATTATGCAATGTAACCTTAGCATAACATCAGATGAGACTCACTGACAGGGAAGCTGCGGGCGGGAGGTGAGGAAGAAAGATGGGCAGGATTCCATCTTCCCCCAGGAATACACAGGTTCTCGATTTCCAGCTTTAAGAATAATGCCAACATCAGCTTAATACTATAGGCCATTATACGCTCACACTTCAGATGGGCTACAGTTTCAATAGACTGTAGTTTAAAGTAATAGGGAACAATAAGGAAGGTTACTGCAAAAAGCGAGCTTTAAATAAAAATAAAATATATACCTAAACAGCCTGTAAATTAACATTACAATGTAAGAACACACAAAAAAAATAAATTAAGTTATGGTGCCAGAAGGCCCCCTGGATATGAGCGGTCAGCTGCCGTTCTAAACCAGTCAGTAGCTCACCCATTCAAGGCTGGACACCAGTGTTGGAGGTAACCTTTGACATTACACCATCCAAGAACAATTAAAGGGACACTAGTCACCTGAACAAATTTAGCTTAATGAAGCAGTTTTGGTGTATAGAACATGCCCCTGCAGCCTCACTGCTCAATCTTCTGCCATTTAGGAGTTAAATCCCTTTGTTTATGAACCCTAGTCACACCTCCCTGCATGTGACTTGCACAGCCTTCCATAAACACTTCCTGTAAAGAGAGCCCTATTTAGGCTTTCTTTATTGCAAGTTCTGTTTAATTAAGATTTTCTTATCCCCTGCTATGTTAATAGCTTGCTAGACCCTGCAAGAGCCTCCTGTATGTGATTAAAGTTCAATTTAGAGATTGAGATACAATTATTTAATGTAAATTACATTTGTTTGAAAGTGAAACCAGTTTTTTTTTTCATGCAGGCTCTGTCAATCATAGCCAGGGGAGGTGTGGCTAGGGCTGCATAAACAGAAACAAAGTGATTTAACTCCTAAATGACAGTGAATTGAGCAGTGAAATTGCAGGGGAATAATCTATACACTAAAACTGCTTTATTTAGCTAAAGTAATTTAGGGGACTATAGTGTTCCTTTAACCCCTTAAGGACCAAGCTTCTGGAATAAAATGGAATCATGACATGTCGTGTGTCCTTAAGGGGTTAAGCCCCTTAAGGTAAGGGCACCCAGGAGCCTCCAAGCACCATAACTTAATTTGCATTAAGTTGTTATGGTGACAGGAGTGTCTAAATTTTACATATGCCAGCATGAGTTGAAGTGGTCATTGTGATTTGAGTATTTGGAAGGTTTCGGTAAGAAATGCTATATTTATTGCCATGGTTAGTGTACCGCCATCTCTGGCAGCGTCACTAGCCAGCCTAGCACAAAAGGTCTGGGCTAGCCATTTTGAATTCTGATCACAGCGTGTTATTAGGCAGATTCTCTCAATGAATGACCAATATCTCTTAAGAGGGAAAATTGTGGCCAAATGGTTTTCCCCATTACAGGGAAGAGGAGCCAGGGCATTGCTTGCATTTGAACCACCACAGCAGGCTGTAATAGTTATGAAGCTTAGGGTAACCCTTTAAAGTTTAAAGATAACCCTCCGCACCCCCCTTTATGCAGGGTTTTTGATGCTATGACTACCCATCATAAAAATAAAAAAAAAGCCAAGAATGTGGCTTCACAAGTTACGCATGTTTTCTCAGTCATTTTAAGGAGTATGCAGTGTGATGGATTAAGCCAAGACCAGCCAAACTCCCTGCCCCTTTCACTTGGGTCTGTGAAGCCTCAAGCCAAGGGAGGGGAGACAAAGCATGTTAAATTAATCTTGTAGATAACCAAAAGGCAAAGTATGCAGGCCAGTAGCAACATAACTGCATACACAGCAACACAAATCTGCCAGTCACTGCAACAAGTACCACACTTGTCATCATTAACTATTTATAAGTCACATAGCACAGCACCATTACGAGGACCTGACCTTTTGGTCATCACCATTGCCAAGTGAGTTCTATAATAGGGTAGAAAAAATAAATAAATTTAAAAACCATTTTAAAAAATTGGAAAAGGGAAAATTACAGTTTGCTGATTTGCACACAGTCACGCTGCATTCTAGGTGAGTGACATAAGTCACAGCACTTTAAAGAATTAGCAAATTATATTTTTATTGCAAATAAAGTACACCAGTACAAGACAGTAATAACACAAACATGGACCTAAAAAAACAAAAAAACACAATGGGGTTGGGGGGGCAGATCTCTTCTGCTGCTGGCTAGTAATTTAGTCATTAAAACATAATGTACTACCATCAAAGAAATCATAATACTATTCCATGCTAGACATTATTTATCAAGGAAAAACAGGTGCTGCTTTGGATGTCAAATCTTCAATGTTGTCCATGGTGATCATTCATCATTCAGCCCTCTGTCCCCAAAAATAGCATATGTGTTTTTCCTTAAAAAGTATCTGTTACGCTCGTGGCTAGAAGGGCACTCCACGCACCATGACTTATGCTCCTTGCATAGGTATTAATGCATAAGAGTTAATTCAGTGATTTTTAAAATCTTATTTTTGTAAGTGGAATAAAAAAAATAAAAATTAAACACACAACCACGTGTGTTATCAATTTTTCCATGTCTTCTACATCCCACAGAAGATGTTGACATATGAAGAAGGCTTATTACAGATTACAGCAAGTCCAAGTATATACAGAACTTGCCATAAGCTTAGGCTTCCATTCATCATAGAGGATCAATGACAACGGCCAAGGGCAGAACTACAGGTTCTAAACTCTTAGGGCTCATGTCCAGGTCTTATTGGAAAAATTGCACCCAGATTGGAAAAGCCATGTCCTGGTATGGACAGAGCTCACTGCAGACGATATAAATCCTGGGCATACACAGCAAGTGCAGGAATTTCAAATGTAGGAGATATATATTTCTATATTACACCTTCCATGCTGCTTAGCCAATTTAAAGGCTGGCAAAGCATCATGGGAGTGAAAGTTATTCAATATGTCAGGATCTACCTTTAAAGGACCACTATAGTGCCAGGAAAACACTCGTTTTCCTGGCACTATAGTGCCCTGAGGGTGCCCCCACCCTCAGGGACCCCCTCCCGCCCGGTTCTGGAAGGGGGAAAGGGGTAATAACTTACCTTTTTCCAGCGCTGGGCGGAGAGCTCTCCTCCTCCTCTCCGCCTCCGATCCTCCCTGCCGGCTGAATGCGCACGCGCGGCAAGAGCTGCGCGCGCATTCAGCCCGTCGCATAGGAAAGCATTTACTTCTGGCACCCAGACCACTTCATTAAGCTGAAGTGGTCTGGGTGCCTAGAGTGGTCCTTTAAGGCATCCCTGACCTATATAATGTATTACAATTGTAGACACCTGAAGGATATGTGTCTTTCAAATATGAATGGGGGCAACTTTCTACAGTGTCAAGTATTTAGGTTGGTTTACAGCCAAGTGCCAATATAGTTAAATGTGTGCATTAATAAGTCAGTGAGTGCTAAAACCAGAGGGCCCCCAACCCAGAGGGCTTAAAAAAAAAAAAAAAAAAAAAGAAATAAAGAATGCATTTTTCTATAAATCGTATAAATCTGTTTATTCATACAATGCTTTTGGACATTACTTGAGCAGTTGGAATAATCAGTGGATTATACCTAATTTTACACGCAGTTCACAAATTTATATAGCGTTTCCCCGCACCCCAAGCTGCCTTGCCTAAAGCGGCATTTGATGAAGCACGGAAGAATTTGGTTATTGACAGTCAGGGAGAAAACAGAACCAACCCCCATCGGCAGAATGCAAGGAATGTGAATGTATTCAGAGAAAACAGGTTGACACAGGGGCGAGAATTCTGCTTTCTGAGCACCCATGCCCCCTTTCTAGGTTACAAGAAACTCAAAGAAAAGGCTTTAAAAACAAAAAAGTTATTTTCTGAGTGTGAAAGTGTTTACAGATCAGCAATTCACTCACAGGATTTAAGAAAAATTTAAGTAGGATATATGGTGGTAGCTAGATAGAAACTCCCTCCCCCCCAACAAAAAACAAAAACAAAACAAGTTTTCTAGGGGCTCTTAATTTTTGGAACACCTTAGCAAATAAGATCAATACATTCCCTCACTTTGTTTCCTCTCTTCAGGAATCACGTCACCTGTACACAACACCAATGTGTCAGTGCAAACTGAGGGGCTATAGAGAATGTATCTTTCACAAATCTTTTTCACACATGCCCAAAACTTTGCCACAGGCATCTACTGCAAAAATCTCCTGACAGCTGTCACATGACAAAAAGTAGCTCTTTGCAGTAGGCATATCTCCTGAAGCAGCATTCCATGCACCATTATCGTCAATTATATAGCGCCAACAGATTCCATAGCGCTTTACAATATTATAAAGTGGGGGAGGGATTGAACTATAAATAGGACAAGTAAACTTATAGGAAAGATAGGTTGAAGAGTAGCTTACAGTCTATGGGAGGTGGGATATAAAACACAATAGGACATGACCATAAGCACTACAGCGACGTAAACGCTATTGGACAGTCACTACTGCAGGGAATTCAATCTTCAAGTTGTACTTTAGTGCTGAATAAACGTTACACACTAAACAATACATCTTTTGTATGGAATTAGCGTGGGCAGAAAACCTATTAACATGGCATGCTTCGTGCCTCTATTGACAGATAAGACTGAGAATGGATTTGTCCATTTCCTTGACAAAGTGGTAAAACACACACACTAGAGTAAGTGCCTTATAACAATGGGGCAAACTTATAAAAGGGTGTATTTAAAAAAAGACTTCTTGGATCCAACATGCAAATAGAAAGTTAAACAAGTTTATATACAGGGATTTAAAGTTTGTTTTTTCTTGCAAAGCAAAAAAAAGTTCAGAGTTAAAAGCCCCTAAAAAAAAAAAAATTAAAAAAAAAAGCAGTTGTTTCACAGGTGTTTGAACTCTGCTTGTAAATGGCTGTAATAAAGTTCTGGGGGCAGTAATGGGATGATGGGTGACTCGTAACAAGTAAAGAAAAAGCAAAGTGTAGTAGGCAAAGGAGGTGTGAAGATGTATTTGCCTGGAAGTGTAGTTTCACACATACAGCTTAATAAAACACAAAAGATAAATAAATAAAAAAAATGTAAAAACCAAACAGTTTTTAAACACCTTCACTGCCTAGGGGATCTGATACACACAAGTATTTTAGTGGAGAAAGGCTTGTGGATTTTTTGTTTGTTAAAATAAAAAGGTTCTTAACCATAACAGGCACATAGGTTATGTACAAAGCATTGCCTCAGACACCCAATTAGTTGTTTAGGTCCAATAGATGCTGTGCATGCGCTACCCAAAGTGGGCCCAAATTTAGGTCTGGACTTAAACTAAAAAAAAAAAAGGGAACAGGACTGAATCATTCAGCCATCCTACACTGATCAAGTATCCCACTGTCCTATGCTCTTGTGAATAGCATTAAACAGAACTTTTACGTTTCTACAGTGGTAAGAGAGACTTTATGGATTCACTGTTAAAGTCCTCTGATTTCACTTGCCTTCCACAGTCGTATCAACTAGTCTATTGAGTATTCTTGTGCATGCGCAACAATGCAATAGCATTAGCCTCTGGCAAACAAGGCTGCCACCAGCTTTGGCAAATGAAATTAAAGTTTACAAGATCTAAAATGGGACATGTGACCAATTCTGTCGTCAAGTGAAGGACAAGTCATTGAAATTCACAATGTCATCATTTATCCATGGTTCTTAGTGTCAGTTTTCTACTGGTACCAAGTTCTTTGGAGAAGTCATAAATTTGCCAGTCTTAAAAAGGAACGGTTTACTACAGAGCCATGCAAAGTGCTTGACCAAAAAATTGTTTATCTAGGAATATAAATTAGGCTGACAGATTACCAGAAGCAGGCAGTGGGATACCGGTCTAAAAGGCTTCAATTTAAACAATACATATACTGAGTGTTTACTCCTCTAGGTCACATCAAAACCAACCCTTATTAATTTGGCCTTTTATAATAATATGGCTTTGCAGGCTCTTACATCTTGCCATTTCTCAGTAAGTTGGACAATGTTATTACTCAATATTTATCCAAGTACACGTGCTCGTTCATTGACTGTTACATGCAGAGCAAAGCATTTTACACTATAGTTAACACAGATGGAAGTTGTAGGATTTCAAAACAGCAAACATCCTCAGAGTAGGTTAAAAAGAACACAGCGCTCACACACTGCAAGTCAAACAATTATGGCAAGCAGATGGGACACAGCGTTACTCAACAGAATGGAACTCTATGGCATAAGGCCTTTATTACGCTGGTGTAATCAATGGTTTGCAATAAAATAAATCCATATGAAGAAAACAGATTGAGAGCACCTTAAAAATAAAATTACAGATGGTTAACACTTCCTTTGATAAGAAGGATGGGTCAAATTAAAGCAACAGTACGATTTACCTCAACATATATACGCAATGCATATTTTTAAGAGGCCTTACAGCTTAAAAAATAAAAATTGAAGTTTTACAAAATTATACAGGAGTATATTAAAATTAGATAGTGTCTCACAGATGGTTTATTATGTTTGTTTTGTAAAGTACCACTTGTTTTAAAAAAACAAAAAAAAAACAAAAAACAAAACAAACACGCATTTTCTCACCACATGCTCTTTTATTCTGCATTTTTTACTCCCAGTGTCTGAAACGTATTTATAAAGAAAATTTTAAAAAATTACACAAGGAAACAGACTCTCTCCACCCCCCCCCCCCAATCAAGCAACAAAACAGGAGCAGAAATTAAGACAAGCTCCACGTTCGTACCACTCAGTTCTTAGCAGTCTATCGTCAAATCACATGTGCTATGCTTGCCGTCTCAGGCCCAATCATTTGCGCGCATGCATCTAGAGTATGCACATGTTTTCTCCCAGTTTGCATCCAGTTACTTTGACAAATGCAATTCTGAAAGTGTATGCATGGATTTGAAAACACACCCACAAAAATATAAAGAAAATACAAAACCTTACACCATAACCAATGATGGCATAAAAACTATACGAACCAACATTGATGGAGCCACTTTAATAGTATTTTTCCTGTAGGAAAATCACTACCACAGTTTAATTACAGCAGCACTCCACCCAAAGCTCGTCAGCATGATGAAGTGCTTTAGGGGCCTGAATAGTCATGGTTTAATTTCACAAGAAGTGCAAAATTCAATAGAAGTTGGCACTTACATTCACCTTGTAACACCCCCTGGCTGTCAGACAAAAAGTCCTGTTACTTCTTTGTTTGGTTCGCTCATTGGAACAAAACTAAAAAGGTCTAGTTGCTCAGAGCATCTGCCTTACAAAGACCTTGTTAGCTGCGTGGGGAAGTCTGACTCTAAAGTCGCAGGAAGTCTGTCCTCGGGAAGAATTGGGGGGCTTGGAAAGGATGCAGACAAGAGATCTGCAGCTTTTTGCAAGCGGTTATACATTTTACTTCCTCTTCTATAAATGTCAGTCTGTCACATAGCAATGCGAAATGAGTGGGCTGTGAAATCTGACAGAATAGCATCACAAAATTCCACAGCAGCACAAATAAACCATTTGCTCAGGAAAAGGAGTGAATGAGCAAAGAAAAAGCATTTAGGTCTATAATCTAACAAACGTGGCTTTAATAGATAATGTAGAAATACATAAAAATCTCTACAATTTACACAAATGTATCAGCCATGACATGGGCAAGTATTGTAATCTGCAGTCGCTATACATGAAAAACCTCCCTTAAAACTCAGCTAAAAGGGAGTATTGTGGTAAAACTAGTCCATAAATATCAGTGAGAAAGCTTGTCACCATTACTGTTAATTGGGTTGAACAGGCACACTTTAAAAATCAGGGAGGAGCGGAGCCTGACCACAGAAGCGAGCGGTCGCATGAGCCTGTAGCTCCCATCTCCAAACGGTGAAATCAACAATTAACTTATACCATTACACCCCCAGGCCATATGGGATGCAAAACTAAAAAAGGGGTACCAGAAAGCCCACCCTGGGGCTGACGATCAACGACATGTAGAGGCAAGCACGTGGCGCTAGCTGGCCCAATATGGCATCTGTTTGGATTTCTCCAATGAATTCTCATGAGATGCTGAAGGAGAATTTCCTCCCTGCTCCAACGCAGACGGCTACTTAGCACTCTGGAAGGATCCTCCCAAGCCAACAAGCACACCATTGCCTCGCTCCAACAGACCGTGCATGACATGCAACAGCAGCATCAGAAGCATGAACACCGCTTCGCGGCTCAAGAGAAGTCCAGGCGAAGAAACAACCTAAATGTTAGAGGGGTCCTAGAGGCAGAGCTACCATACATAATGAGCCGCCCAAGCAGGCCACAGCTATTAACCCTGATGACCTCTTTCAGGTCTCCCAAGCCTGCCAGGGCACCACCCACGGTCACAAGGGACATTATGGTAACCTTCCGAAACGGAAAGGACAAAGCAGCGGTCCTCACTGCTCTACTGGGTAAAGCACCTCTCCAATTTGAGACCAATGGCGCTGACATTCTTTGCCAACCTGTCAAGTGGTACTCTAGCATGGCCCAGGTCGTTCCGACCACTCACCTCCCTGCTTCAACGACACAACATTGGCTACTGCTGGCAGCTCTCCTAAACACCTGTCGTCCAACATGGGACTGAGTCACAAGATGCAAGAAGCAGCAGCCCTACTATGGACTCTGGGCATACCCCAGGACAACACACACAATCCTACTTTTCAACCCGCACTTGGGATTCCGACAAGAAAGTCTCATTTCTCCCACAAGGCTCAACTCCAGACACCTATGCAGCGTTCCACACCTGAGCGGAGACTTTGGGCAATACATACTGTTGTGCTCCTTTACTCAAATAGTTTAGACCCAGTTTAATGCCCCTAGAGCGCAGACTTGACCCACTTTAGAGAGTTACCTGGCGTAATAGTTGACTTCATGACGATCACCTGGTTTAAATATTTTCCACCCTACTGTCACCACAGAGAAGGTTTTATCACAGCAGGCCCGCTGCTTGACTATAGTGGTATATATTGAGTTAATTGTGGCCCTTACGGAGTACACCACCACTACAAGATATAGGCCCCAGGCTTGGGAACCCGAACCTGTTACACAAACCATGTGGCATCTCTTTACAGCCCCTTCAGGCCGGTGTGCACTACCCTGTGTAACCTTAACTATTCTCACTTGGCAGTTTTAATACAGTGCTGAACATCCATGCAACCGTAGTGCACCACAACAGCCGGGGGGAGGGGGGGTTCACTAGGGATCGTCCAATATTGATTTTTTAGAGCAGATACGGATAATCTGTGAACTGTCAGTTTGATAACTTGCCAATATTCTGTATATTTTTTTGTCCCTCCCTCCCCGCTTGGTACCTGGCCAGGGAGGGGGGCTATGGCATTCCCAAGTGGTCCAGAGGCTTGTACTGAGCAGTGTGGGGCCCACAGCAAGCTCTTACTTCCCTTTCCAGCAGCTCCCTAGTGCAAATCTCACGGTTTGTGTGCCGCGTGTAACGTTGCCATGGTAACCCGTGGCAAGGCGCCGGCCGTTTTTTTTTTTGGTTTTTTAAAGTAAGATACATCTAAAAAAAAAGAAACCATTTTTATTTCATGCAGGCTGTGTCAGGAAGTGTGGCTAGGGCTGCGTAAACCAAAACAAAAATAGATTTTACTCCTGAATGGTAGTGAAACTTTAGAGGCATGAGCTTTATTATTTATAAAAAAAAACCACTACTTCATTAAGCTAAAGTTGTTTTGGTGAATATAGTGTCCCTTTTACAGTTTCAAATGCAACAAAACCTGCCAGGAAAGAATTCCCATTTGTTTGAATGTCAAAACAAAACAGATTTCAGAGAGCAGGATGTGGTGCCAAAAATAGCCAGTACAAAAGTACAGCAACTGCCCAGGGAAACCGCTCCAGCCAAAACCATGGAGGCTGGATATATACAGAGAACAGGAATATTGTGTAACGACAATACGACTCTGGACAACTGCCTCACAGCTTTATCAACCAAAAAAAAAAAAAGGGGGAATTATTGGACAATCCCTGGACACAGATAAGTGTGATAAGGACAGAATAAACCAGATGTCACAGGCGAGGAGTGGAGAGTTCTTCTTGCAAACTTCCATGTGGACCAGTCATGTTTGAAATGAGACCATTTTTTGGGGTCTACAAATTTATGCCCACACATTAAAGGACTACGTGCATGTCAACATTCTACATCAGAATACGGAATTGTGTGGTTTTTTTTGGGGGGGGGGTGGGGGGTTAAAGTCTTTTGCAGCCAATGGACATAAAGGGATGATGCCATTGAACATTCTTGAAGCAATCATACAAAACATTAATCTACCAAAACCTAGAAAAAAGTCTGCTGTAGGATACCACCATTTAGAGCTTACATATGACCAGAGATTTGGCTCGAGTAGCCCAGAGCTATGATACCAGCTCTACTCTAGATAATGCTTCTTAAATGCTAAGCAAACAAGATCATGGTTAATGCGGTGATCCTGTTTATAAAAACCATTAATCCCTTGCAATAACATTGGATGCATTTTGTTTTGTCGGGTGGCAGTAAAACCTACAATAACAGAAGCCAGCAAAGGGAGGGGGGTTGCATTTCAAAAAAGTCAAATGCCAAGTAATTTGATATCCTACATTTACATATTGTTTACCGACAGTTTGTTATCTTCGAAATACCTCAAAAGCCTAGACCACAGGCAAAGGGATATTGTCTATTATATATTGGGCTCAAAATGATCGGTTGTACACTACTAGACAGACCTTAAAGGTTACTCACCCTGAAGAGTCTATTACATACTTATATTCATTTCTACTAGCCTGGACAGCGTTTTCACTTGACGATGGCTAGTGGAACTTTTGAGACTTAAAAATATTAAATAGGGCCCAGACTAGCCTAAAGCTCTAATGCTTCTCAGTTCTTAAGGGAGGGGGGGGAGAAACACAACAACAATAAAAATACATTAGTCAATTTTATATTTTTGGGTTACTTACAAAAAGCAGTAATTAGAAAAACAAGTTTTCAAATCAAGTTTTGAACTTAAAGGACCACTATAGGCACCCAGACCACTTCAGCTTAATGAAGTGGTCTGGGTGCCAGGTTTAACCCTTTTTTCTATAAACATAGTTTCAGAGAAATCGCTATGTTTATAAATGGGTTAAGCCAGCCTCTAGTGGTTGTCTGACAGCCGCTAGAGGCGCTTACGTGCTTCTCACTGATTTTCACAATCAGTGAATGCTTTCCTATGAGACTGGCTGAATGCGCGCATGCGGCTCTTGCCGCGCATGCAGCCGAGGAGGAGGAGAGTCCCCCGCCCGGTGCTGGAGAAAGAGGTAAGTTTAACCCCTCCCTCTCCATCCAGCCCGGCGGGAGGGGACCCTGAGAGTGGGAGCACCCTCAAGGCACTATAGTGCCAGGAAAAAGTATGTTTTCCTGGCACTATAGTGGTCCTTTAATGGAAGGAGATTTTGCAAACACTGCTATTCTGGCTGAACTTTACCAAGTTTAAAATTTGACACAGTAATTTTGGAGTAAGACTTTATACAGAGTCAGATTTTGGGTACGAGAGAGCAAAACAAATCAAAAAGATGACAGACATGCAAGTTGAGCCAACACAGTGAGTGCTAAAGGGGAAAGATGCCATAGCCCCAGGGAGGCAGCAGGCAAGACAGTGAGAGGGCGCAAGTAAAAACCCATGTGTCAACAGAAACTCTTGTCAAAATGTTTGCTCAGCTTGAGCCTTCCAGGTAATGCCTCCTGTGAGATTACAATACTCTTTCTCAGGCCAAGCCTCCCAAGCCAGCAACGCCCAGCTATATTTCGCTTCCTACAGGGAGGCTATAACCTGGCTGTTAGCGTCTCTGCCTCACCCCGCGCCCTGCCCTTGTCTGATTACCCTTTGTAGTCGGAAGCTTTCCCATGAATAAACATGGGAGTAACCCAGCCCTTTCCTCACATGGATGTGATATGGAAAAAAAAAAAAAACACTTATTAACCCCCAAAGAGCCAAGGCTTATTAAACTTATCAGAAGCCCCTTTGAGAAAACACAGGGGTTTATTCACTAAAGTGCAGATTTATAGCTTCGTTACAGATATTTAAAAAAAAAAGGGGGGGGGGGGATACATCCACAGAAATGCTTTTCCCCCCTAGCTTGGCACGTTTGATGTAACATCTGCAACTGCCTTGCCAAATACTCCACAAACGTAGGTTTAGTGAAGGAGTTCTAGATGTAGTATGCCAGGTGTAATGCTTATATAGTTGCATTTGTCTAGGAGTTGGGCGATTACAGTTTCCAATAATTGCCAACAACACATTAACTTTGATTGTGCGTTTAGTGTAGAAACCGTTTACACTCTGCATATTTTAGCCAATATTTCCCAATTAAAATACATGATTTTTTGCAGATGCCAACAATGCAAAACATGGGTTTGCGCTTCTTGAAAATACTGGTGCCCAAAACCTGCAAGTGAACTACTGTTTGCGGAAATACAAGATGGTGTGCAAGGGAGCTGGAGGGAGGAATGTTTAGGTGGGGCTGACCTGAGCACTAGATGTTTTGTTTCAAACTGGAAAGCAGACGGCTTACTGTGTCTATCTAACTTGATTACAACACGTCTAAAATAAACTTTACATTTGTATTTTTTGATCTAGCAAATTGACCAAAGGGAATTCTCAAACCAGTGAAAAAAAAAAAAAAAAAAAACAAACAAACAAAAATTAAAATAATTCCTACAATTCTTTGCCATTTTTAAATTATTACTGGAAAGATATGGAACCTGCAGTTTGGTAATCCAGGTTTGACAGGTCAGAGGACAAAGTTGTAAGTTTGGTCTATTTCAGTTAAAACTGGGAGCAGAGATAGTCCATGGGAATCTGATGCTTGCCAATTCATGGTGTTAAAGTGACTCAAGGAAGAATTTGTTCATTCTAAGCAATTGATCAATGACAGAGCAGGTTGAGCGACCCTCCCCACCCACTATAGAAGCTTTTGTCAGCTGCAAACATTCCAGCCGTTTTATTAAATGTCTAGGCTTGACTCATGCATTTGATGGACTTTGACTAAACAGTCACGCAAATAAAAAACACCATTTATTGCACCTGTTCTTTGGCTACAATTTGCCAGCCACTCTGGTTCCTGTAGAGTTAACATTACACAGTGACAATATGATTGGAGACAATAACCTATTATAAAGTGCCCTTGTCCTAAAAGGGATTTGGGTGGGGCTTTCTGCACCCAATGGCAAGAAAACCACCCCTCCCTCCCCCAACCTTAACCCTTTCTACAGCCAGATTCCTAAAAAAAAAAGCCACACAAATTCAATTGGCAGGCAAAACACAAAGGCATGCAGCCATAGAAAGTCATGTGCTTCCAGATGACAAAAGGAGAATTTACCCACACGGGCAGCTATTGTCCTGCTCAATCAGCAAATCAAAGCTTTTAACTTTAGAGAATATTCCCATTAACTGCACTGTGGCTGAAAGTAGCATGATGGAAGGTATAAAGTTCACTACAGCAAGAGGCAATGCACTTGGTTTCGCCAACACTGAAAGCAAATGGGAAGCTGTGCTGACATAACTTACTATTTACACTGGTTTATTAGAATGTTCTTACTAAGATTCCATATCCACTTAGTGACAGATTATGTCACACAATTAAATGGCAAAGTTCCCAAATTAACTGCAAGGAATGGCCATATTCAATTAGCAAAGTATCTTTTCATTTTCAAGCCACTGTTGAAACTATAGGTGTCTACTACACCCATTGTTACGAATACAGTGTTAATGCACAAGTGAATAGACAATAAGGTCACACCCTAATCTAAACAGGACACCAAATTCTGTTTCTGTCTATCACTTTAATTTATTTACACCTTTTACGCAATGTATCCATTACTGCAAATTGTGTTGGGGCTATTAAAATAAACAATCACAATATGAAACCTCAAGCAATGACCTGCTGGGCGGGGGATTACGTAATTTTATAATGGTAGGTTGGCTCCCACCATTAAACTAGACATTTTAAAAGTTAAAGTTTAAGAGGAATTTAAAAGTGACCAACCCGCTACAAGCAATGTAATTTAGCATTATTTACTACATGGCATAAAGGAAGTGTTTTTGCCAGTTTAATAAATTGTAATACACATGCGTAGACCTATAGGACTGATTTCTGGCCAAAACCACAGATGGTTTTACGCAAAACAAACAAGCGTGAATTAGGTACAGGAATAAAACATTGTACTGAAGAATGAATTTTACAGTAACACAGGTCTAAACAGACTTATATTAAAATATTAAACTTTACATATTTAAAGAACAGCAGCATTTCCAAGAAGGTAGATTTGCAATGTGCACGATGGTACCTTATAATAAAATAATGAAGAATGTATTGAAACATGACTTATTCTACATCCTTATTTTATGCCCACACACCATTAATTAGGCTTTGCACGAAACAAAAAACTAAATCTATGACTATCAGCGTACTCATAGTCATCAGTATTATTACCAATCCAGACAAAAGATCTTACAAGGGGTTACAAAAATTATCTACTGTGCGTGTGTATGATAAAATAAAATCTACAGACAACCTAGCAAGGATAGGCAACCTTTGGCACTCCAACTGTTTTGGACTACAGGTCCCATGATGCTTTGCCAGCATAATGGCTGTAAGAGCATTATGGGAGATGCAGTCCACAACATAAGGTTTTCCTAATCCCAAATCCTGGGATATATGAACTGCAGTCAAACAGTGAACACAAAGGTCATCACCCCCCACCTCCCCCTCTGCATGCTGAATAGGGAGCAGGGCTGGCTAACCTATGACTTGGCTTGCCAGCCACACATTGTCTTTATACTGTTGGGCAGCACATGAAGAGAGCTGCCCTACAACATGCAGCATGTGCTGGGGGGAGACAAGCCAGCCAATCAGTGCTGGCCAAGCTTTAACCTTGATTAATTAAGGGATCTACCCCCTATAACTGCTCTAAGAACTACATCTCCCATGATGCTTTGCTAGCATTAGTACAGTGAGAGCATCATGGGAGATGTAGTTCTTTTCAGCAGCTGGGTGTCCTACGCTATATTATACAGGGCAGTACTTTTCATGCACTGTCTAAGGACCCCCGTACAGGGCTAGGGACACCTGCTGGCCCTGGGATAGCCCAGCTGCTGCGAACCATCACTCTGTAACGCTCAGCCAGCCAGGAAGGGAGGGAGCAGTGCATCATGGGATATAACCCACAGCTGGGGGGAGGACACGGACAGAGGGAGCGGGGTGTCTGGAGGTCCCTTACCCCGCGGTGTGAGGCGCTGGAAGGCTACAGTTTCCGTAATCTCCGTCTCCGAACTCGCCCAGACCTCGCCACTCCGACAACTAGCCCGAGCAGCCAGCAAGCTGTCAGCGACAACACCCAGCCCAGCCAATCAGCAGCCGCCTTTGCACCGACAACGCCCTCCAGCAAGGCGTATCCGCCTTCTTATTGGCTGAGGCGTCCGTCGATCAAACGAACCACTCGGCGCTCGCCTCAGCCCCATGAAAATGAAACGCGCTCCGATTGGCTGGGAGCGCGGCTCGTCCCGAGGGTAGTTTTGCGCTGTGCAGATTCTCGCCGCGGATTGGCTACAAGTTGAGAAGGGGATAGCTTATTGGCTAGTTGAAGCGTCAATAATGTACTGCTTCATCCAATAGGATGTTGTGGTTTTTTTTTTTCCAAAGTGCTTTTTTTTTTTTTCTTCTTCCCACAGGGACCGCCCTAAAGTGACGTCAGAGGCTTCACCTGTGCAGGTGAGTCAGTGTGTGTGTGTAGTGATGACAAATAGTCTCAGTGCCATGACTGTGTGAGTGACTGGGACAGGTCTGTGCTTTATTAGCTGTGAAAAGAAACCTCAATGCTTCTCAGAGGGCAGTGGTACCCAGACTATAGCTAAAAAAAAAAAAAACAGAAAACTAAATATGGTACAAAATAATATATATATTTTATTATTGTTATTTTAAATTTGTTAATTTTTTTGTCTTTTATACATATAAAAATATGGTAAAAAATAATATATATATTTATTAGTTATTTTTTTATTTATTTTATATATATATATATATATATATATATATATATATATATATTATTCTTAAAAACAAAGAAATATGCAGACCGTCTCAATTAAATGAATGAAACTTACTGCATTGACTGGAAAAAATATATCTATGTATAGCGCGATGTTCCAAATATAGAACCTGGCTATTAGAAATAATATGGTCAGAGACCCTAATTAAACAAAGTATATACAAGTGAACCTACAATCTATGCCAGCCCAGGGTAGTATAGATCAAGAGGTAGTAAAAAAGATAACCTCACTCCCCCTTATAATTAAGCTTTATTGTGATCTGCTATAGGGATAGGAGTATACAGTAGCTAAATCTCTATAATCCATGCATCCTAGGAAGTATCCTGGTCACACTAGAAACATATTAAGAAAAACAGAGAGAGATAAGGACTGAAAATAGAAGTAAAAAAATCAGTCAAAAACAGACTGATAATTAGCATTAATAAAGCCTCTCTCCCTGTAAAGCTAGCTAGATAGGCATAGGAAAGAAAAGAAGAAAACGATATAAAATAAAGTTAAATTAGATGGTGATCATGGTGCTCCAAACACCAGTGCCCAGTGCAGAAAAAACGCCCAACGTACGTTTCGGTGCAGAAAGATGACGAAGGTGGAACATCGCGCTATACATAGATATATTTTTTCCAGTCAATGCAGTAAGTTTCATTCATATAATTGAGACGGTCTGCATATTTCTTTGTTTTTGTGTTTATATTTGGGGTTAAGCCCCTCTGAGACAGCTGGAGTCTCATACTGGTACGTTGGTCTCTGCGTGACCCCTGCAGCCACTGCCCCCCTTTTGGGGAGGTTTTGAGGTGGTGGGTGCGGCGGCTATACAGGGACTTGGAACGTTGTGTTCCTTGCTCTCTTTTTTATATATTATTCTTACTTTAAATTTATTATTTTTTGTCTTTTATGTATATAAAAATATGGTAAAATATAATATATATATATATGTGTTACTTTTACATTTATTATTTTTTTGTCTTTTATATATATAACAATATGGTAAAAAATAATATATATATTATTGTTATTTTTTATTTATTTATTTTATATATATATATATTATTGTTACTTTTAATTTATGTAATAAATATATATATATATATATATATATATATATATGTGTGTGTGTGTGTAAATACATATATATATATATTAGATATATATGCACACATTATTCCTTTAGGAAAACATACATGTATTCCTAATGCTATATAGTGCAAGGGTTGGGAAGTACCCCCTACCAGTCCAGGATTTAAGGATTAGCCTGTTGTGTCTAAAGTGGTTTTTTTTTTTGTGTTTTTTTTTCTAAAAATACCTTAGAGACACAACTGGGCAATCTTTAAATCTTGGACTGTTAGGGGATACTTCAGGACTGGGTTGGGAACCACTGCTATAGTGTCTTACTAATCCTACTAACCCCATTTACAATAAAATAAAGTTTTCTTACCTTTCATGCCCTGTTGCACCGGTCTCCACAATGCCGCCGCATCTCACTTGTTGAAATTACTAAGGTTGGTGAACTTATCCAATCCTATGAGCCATAGATAGGGACTGTCCCTCCTAGATAGGGACACGTGGGAGGTATATATTAGCAGTGATACATGATGTTAGTTGGGTAATCCATTATGTTGTGTATCTTCATAAATGGCTCCAAGGCATGAATAGTTGGTTACCATTGAATGCCAGTATGAGGACTTCTAAATTTTATTTTACAAGAACGTCCAACTATTTGGAGAAACTTACTATAACTAGTGCCTGATCTACAATTATCTTCAAAAGTTCGCAATCGCTAGAACAGTCGAGAAGCTATTAATTATCCAAGTCATTTCTTCTGCTGCTCACTGGTCTCATGCACCACAACTGTCCCGATTTCTGAGAAACAGTCCCGATTTTTGGGTTCTGTCCCAACTTTGTCCCTGATGTCCTGCTTTTGGGAGCAGCAGGGAACTGTCCCCAACAAGCATAGCACAAGCACTTCATCAAACATGCTGGCACTATGTTTAGGGTACTAGGACCCTGCACAGAGTACTGATACAGTGTTTCCTGTAGTGTCTCCTCTTAGTGGGATGGCCTTAAAAGATAGACAGGCATTGACGCCAAGCTGTAGACCAAAATTTGTAGTGAATGGGGAAAAACAAAAACACACAAAACTGCCATGGAGCACTAAATGTTAGCAAGTGAGTACAACACTCACCCTTTCTCAATGGAGAGATGTTGGTATAACCCCCCCAAAAAAAGAGGAAGGATTCAAATATAGTGCAAAATTGCTCAGAATCTAAACTACGCCAAACTACGCCCTTTACCTGTTTCACTTTGGCGTCCTGATTCCAGATGCCGAAATTGGGAGATATGAGGTCACTTAACAGTTTTGGTCATTAAAGTGGATTTGTTACCATCTGGAGTCATTGCACAATTCGCAAAGACCCTCAACAGTGACATTACCGCTAGGGATCCGGTAGCCAGTGGGGAAGCTAGGCAATGTTGAGTTTTACTTGCCTGAACCTGTCCCTCGCAGGCAACGCCATTGTCATCCGTCCGCTCCTTATCTGCTCTTGGTGCTTCAGCTGACAGGAGCTGACGTCACTGCTATACTCTCACCCATGCGCAAGAATACAGTATTGAAATCTATGGAGGATCCCGCAAGAACACAGGATCTTAAATAGAAGGAGCTACTTTCCCTGCAGCTGTCACTAGTGATGGCTGGATTGAAATAACAAGGCTCGACGGTGGTAGAGCTACCCAGTGTTAAGTGGAGAAAAATACAGAGATAAGGTACTATGTTTCTCTCAATATATCTTATGACTGGGTTGGAATTTCACTGACAAATCAAAATTACTGAAAAAGGCCCCAGGCAGATATTTTCAATGATTAGGTTATTCTCTTAAAATGCAGTATCTTTCTTTGCTGATTGACAGTGCAAGAGGGAGATCCCTTCTGAATCTTCATCAGTTCTCTTTATAAACCTGACAAATCTGTTGCTGTCTTGGATATGAGACAAAAAGTCAATGCAACAAATTTTCAGGCAAAAGAAGCATGCCGCGTTCACGTTAGTCCCCAAATTACAGAATTTTGATGTGTATAAATTGCTTTAGAAAGAGAATGACCTACTGAAGAATTTTCCCCTGCAGTAGACATTTCCTTAGAAAATGTACACTATCATCCCTCATACAGCAGAAATCAGGTTAGGTATATGTCAATCGCAGGCAGAAACTGTCTTAGTCTAGAGCCGTGCAAGTTAGATTAAATTATCTTTTTATAGCTGTCTGTAAGGAGCTTTCATATTGAACACCCATAGGGAACACAATTCCTTACAGAAGATTTTTGCTGGGTAGCTATTCGATATAGCAAGACTCCAATGTCAAGATTGAATATATTGTCTCTGTCAGATTGTTACTAATGAAAAGCTGCATATCTTGTCAAAGCGATAATTAAAGGTCATTTATTTTCATGATGGCATTTGGATATGGATCTAGGATGCAGATAATGGTCACATAGGATTCATCTGATATAACTTTAAACTAGAGACTGGATTAGCCTTATATAGGACACAGTGTTTCATAATAACATTTACTTATTATTATTATTATTATTATTTATTATTATTATTGCCATTTATATAGCGCCAACAGATTCCGTAGTGCTTTACAATATTATGAGAGGGGGATTAACTATAAATAGGACAATTACAAATAAACTTACGGGAACAATAGGTTGAAGAGGACCCCGCTTAATCGAGCTTACATTCTATAGGAGGTGGGGTGTAAAACACATTAGGACAGGAATTTGCAGTCAAATAAGGTGGGCTACCCGTTAGGAGAGAGAAAGAGACAGGTATGTGAGGTAGAGGTTACTCTGGGAGGCCATAGGCTTTCCTAAAGAGATGGGTTTTAAGGCACCTCTTAAAAGATGCAAGACTAGGGGAGAGTCTGATGGCGGTAGGCAGGCTATTCCATAGGAAGGGAGCCACCCCGAGAAGTCCTGCAAGCGTGAGTTGGCCGTACGGGTGCGGACAACGGACAGGAGGTGGTCACGGGCAGAGCAGAGAGACAGAGAAGGGACATACCTATGGATCTGTGAGGAGATATAAGAGGGGCTAGAGTTGTTCAGTGCTTTATAGGTGTGAATTACTACTTTGAATTGACTCCTATAGCATACAGAAAGCCAGTGTAAGGACTGGCAGAGGGATGAGGTGTGACTAGAGAGGAAAATCAGTCTGGCAGCAGCGTTCATTACGGACTGTAGCGGTGCAGTAAGGCTTTTGGGAAGACCAATCAGGAAAGGGTTACAATAATCCATGCGGGAAATTACTAGAG